ATTTAGTCTACGAAACCAAATTTTAGGTTTGGGATTACGATTACATGTAAAGAAGGTTATAGCACCATCACAGCACACATCCAAAGGATATTACCAGCTTAATTTCAAGTTATTCAAGCCTTAAAACATCTTTATAATTTATCAAATAATTTAATTAATGAAAATTGATCTTAAAACTACTCTAATAGTTTGGTAGTAATTTAAGATAATTTTTCCTCCTAGTAATATTCATGAAAATTAGTGTCTCACTCTACAAAAGTTTCATCGTCAGATTCCTTTGACTTTCATTAAAAAAAAAAGATTTAGAACCTTGGTATCAAAAAATTCTCATCCAAATTCTCCAATATATTGGTAAAATTTAGAAAAGATTTTCTCACCTAAAAATTTAGGTAAAATTTGTTATTTGTAATATTTTTAGTAATTTTATCATCAGAGATTTAAAATTTAATTTATTTAGAAACAATCAAAAATATATTTCAATATGTTGGTAAGATTTTCTATCAAAGATTATCCTCCAAAATATTGATAGGATTGAAAATTTATTTGTTTCAAGAAAATTCATCAAGTCCTCTAATAGTTTGATAAGAGTTAATTTAAGATTTAAATTCTCCAATAATTTGATATGACTAAATTTTTTTTTTAAATCTTTTTTAATTTAAAAAATCAATTAAAATAAACAAATATTATTAGGCAATAATAATATAATCATGCAATAATATAATATTAATAATTATGAAAATATAATCATACAATAATAATTAATATATTAAAAATCATGCAATTAATAATCAATAATCACGTAATTAATTATGCAAGCAAATTAAATTCATGCAAATAAACTATAAAATATTATCAATTTTCTTTTTTATCACAATTATATGACAATTAAATGATAAATAAAAAAATAAGGAAAAATGAAAATAAAATAAAAAGAAAAAAGAAAAAGAAAAAGGGAAAGCCAAAACCTGTGATCGGGTCGGGCTTGGAGCGCAGGTCCACAAACGGGTTGTCAAGTTCACACTTAGGTTAGAGCTTCTCCAAAATTGCATCATTTCATTCGCATATAAAAGCTAAAAAAATTGGTGTTTTCTTGAAAATGTCTTGGTCATTTCTCTCTCTAACCTTTAATTCATTTTCCCTCTTTCTAAAAGCCTTGTCATTAAATTCAACTAGCCAAAGTAATCCTAGATTCCAACTCCGAAACCTTCAAACGGCCACAAAAATATTCAAACCAAACATAGAGGAAACCCAAAACCCAAGAGATTCTAAAATTTGATCACAACAAATTCCTCCGACCACCATGAAAATCACCAAAAAATTCAAACCCCAAACTTTGCCCTAGCTACTAGAATTGGTTAATTGTGTTTGATTTGTCTGCCCGTGTTTTTTCCCTTATGATTTTTCTATCCTTTTTTGTTGTGTGTGCTTGCTATTCTTATAGGGATTGAATCCCTTTTAGACTTGGAAAATAAATCCATTCACGTTCTTCATTGTGATTTGATTTTTTGAGTTTTCTTTTTATTTTGCATGAATTAGTGCAAGTTTCCTTTAAAAAAGATCTCATCATTCAACTAAATCAAGACCTAATCTAAGATTTTTGCAAAATCCCAATTTCCTACTATTTCTTTTTTATTTTAACCTTGACTTTGACTTCTGGACTAAAATTAAATAAATTAAAATCACAATTAAAATCAAAGTTATAATTAAAATTAACATAAACATTAAAATTAAAATTGTGGGCTTTTATTTATATCTTTAAGCCTGAAGTTTCCCAATCAAAGCCCAATCAAAGGATTACTTTGATTCTTAAAATTTTTTTTGGATGAAATGAGATGTTTATAATTGTCTCTCTTTGTACATTCCTATAAAACAAAAATGATATAAAGATATAGAAAACCATTGCATCCAGTTCAACTTAAGGATCCTCTAAACAGAGGCATACAACTTAAAAAATGAATTAGAAAAGAAGCTCATCTAAATAGAGGTTCAACAACTTTAAAAACTTTACAATAGGAAATAGACTCTTCTAACTAGAGGCTCAACAAACGGACTCCTCTAAACAGAGGCCAAATAACTTTAAATTAAAAATGGCTCCTCTTTACAGAGGCTAAACAACTTTAAATTAAGAAATAAGCTTCTCTATATAAAGGCTAAACAATTTTAAATTAAAAAATAAGCTCATCTATATATAGGTTAAACAACTTTAAAAACTTTAAATACGAAATGTCAAAAGACATCCATTTTGCTCAAGTCTAGAAAATTTTAAAATTTTTAGCTTGAAATCCAAAGATTCATAATTTGAAAATTCAAAGGTTTATCATTAAGTTCAAATGTTCATAAACTTTAAAATTCACGAGGTTCCATTGAAAGATTTTATGACTCCAACATTCATAAGACAAAAATTTGCAAAAACTCATATTTGCAAGATTTTCAAATTCACAGGAATATCAGATTCTCAAGAATGAAACATTCGGAAGATTTTTAAGTTCACAAGAACTCAAACTCATAATAATGAAAGATTTACAAGATCTTCAGATTCATAAAAATGAAAATTTTGCAACAACTCAAATTCGCAGGAATTGCAGATTTGCAAGGTTTTAGATTCATAAGAATTTCAAGTTCATAAGAATTTTCAAATTCGTAAGAAATTTAGTTTCATAAGAATTTCAGATTTGCAATAACGCAAAAATTTAGTTTCACAAAAATTTTAAATTCGTAAGAATTTAAAAATTCGTAATAATTTAAAGATTGTGAATTTAAAGATTCACAAGAATTTCATATTCACATAAATTTTCAAATTCATAAGAATTTTCAAATTCACAAGAACTTATATTCACAAGAATTTTTAGATTCGTAAAAGCTCAGATTTACAACAATTTCAATTTTGCAAGAATTTTAACTTTGTCATTGTAAAGATTTGCAAACTATAATTCACATACAAGATTCAAATATTCACATTTAAAAAATTTTTATTAGTGATTCATATCTAAAATTTAAAGTTTTATATTTGAAAATTTTAAGGATTCACATCTAAGATTTCAAGATTCACAGCCAAAATTCAAAGATTCTCATTCGAAAATTTTAGTGATTCATGCCAAAAAGTTAAAGATTTTCATTCGAAAAATGTAACGATTCGCATTCGAAACTTCAAAGATTCACATTCAAAAATTTTGGTATTTTACATCCAATTTTTCAAAGTTTCTCATTAAAAAATTTTATAATTTAACATCCAAAATTTCAAAAATTCTCATTCAAAAAAATTTTAGGTTTCACATCCAAATTTTCAAATATTCTCATTCAAAAAATTTTAGTGATTATACTCAAAGGTTTTATAAATCATAATTATTTATATAAAAAAAAACTCCTTTAAACAAAGATTTTATAATTTTAAAAAGTTTGAAAAATTTTTTGTCCAAAAATCTCATCATGAAAGATCTTCCTCATTTAAAGATTGAAAAGTCAAAATTTTCTCCCACTAAAGTCAAATTCTTGTATGTGACCAATGTTATGATAACAATGCAAATGCCTTCTAAATGATACAAATGCAACAATCTAAGTTTTCCTTAAATGATGCATATGCATGTCTTAAACAATAATGCAGATGCCATATTATAATTCAAATATTCTCTATATGATGCCAATGCATGCTCCATCCATGATACAAATGCATTATCAAAAGATTGTACCAATTTGATTTCAAGTATCCAAGCTTTAGAACATCTTTATAATTTACCAAATAATTTAATTATTAAAAATTGATCTTAAAACTATTCTAATAGTTTGGTAGTAATTTAAGATAATTTTTTAATCTCAAGAATATTCATGAAAACTAGTATTTTACTTTAAAAAGTTTCTGTCATCAGATTCATTTGATTTTCGTAAAATATTTTATTTGTGATAAAGAGATTTAGAACCTTCGTATCAAAAAAATTCTCATCCAAATATTTTAATATGTTAGTAAAATTTAGAAAGATTTTCTCACATAAGAATTTACGTAAAAATTGCTATTTGAAAACACTTTAGTAATTTTATCATCAAAGATTCAAAATCTAATTTTTATAAAAATAATTTATTTTTAGAAATATCTTTCAATATGCTGGTAAGATTTTCTATCAAAAATTATCCTCCAATATATTAGTAGGATTAAAAAATATTTGTTTCAAGAAAATTCATTAAGTCTTTCAATAGTTTAATAAGACTTAATTTAATATTTAAATTCTCTAATTATTTTGCATGATAATTTTTGCATGAAAACCTTTTATTAATTTAATTTGAAATTAATTTTTGAATGATAATTTGTTCGTTTATCTCATTATCATTATTGTTTTTACTAAATATCATTTCATTATATAATTATTTAATAAATAATAAAATAATAAATACATAAATAAATAATAAACTTAATAATCAAATAAATTATTAGTGAATAAAAAATAAAATTGAAAACTATATAAATAATAATGTAAAAAATATTAGTTATTTTATTTTAAGATGTATAAATATATTAATATTTTAAAAATTGTATTATTTTGAAATAAACATAATCGTGTAAAGAAAAATATAATAATAATAATAACATATAATCAATTTATTTAATAAATAAAAGAATTACATAAATAAAAAATAGGCACATGATTAATTATATATAAATAAAAAAAATCTAAATAATTAAAGGAAAAGATATTATTTTATTAAATTTAATATGTATAAATATATTATTATTTTTTAAAAAATGATTATTTGTTATAATAATATTTTTTAATTTTCAATTATTTATTAAATTTATAAATATCAAATATATTATAAATTTTATTATATAAAATTTTTAATATAATATCTTTAATAATTATTTTTTTACTATAATTATTTTATCGCAATTATTATATTTACATCTCAATATATATTTTATCATTAATTTTAATCCATCGGATAAGATTTCTACATCTCATGATGTGTTTTTTTTTTTCCCCAGCGTGGTTATTGTAATGGCCCTTTGGCCCTTTTCCAGAATGAGTTGAACGAAAATGTACCTGCTAGTAAAATATATTTGTTTAAGGTTAATCATGTGAGTTTTCCAAACAGAAGTATTTTATTCAATACTATAAAGGACTAAAAAGCAATGTAAGCCAAGTCCAGAATGATCTCCCAAAAGCTATCTATCAAGATCACCAGAAGAAAACATAGCTAAGTGTCACTTTATTCTCCTTCTCTGCTAAGAAGAAAACAATGATGGCTGGGCTTGTCGGAGCTGCTTTTCCTCCAGGTGTTGTTTGATAGGATGGCTTTCCGAGATCGAGGTTTTTACTTCTACCGTACGTGGAAGGAAACTCACTGATGGCTAGTTGAAGATGCTTTTGCTTTCTGTTAATACAGCGCTCAATGATGCGGAGGGGAAGCAAATTACCAGTTTTTAGGTTGATCTTAAGCAGTGTTTTGTTTAATTTTCTCTATTTCCAAAGGATTATGAATTTGGTAAAGAGCGAATTGATCTTAATTATGGATGGCAGAAGGTTTTCTACTAGAGCCTAGAACTAATCAGATGTGGGAAGAAGTAGAGTATGTATTTTCATGATGTTGTTAAGGCCATAGCTTCAGCAATTATCAACTAGTGATAAATCGTGTTATGTAATGCATCATCTTCTCTATGATTTAGCAAAATTTGTGGCAGGAGAGTTTTGTTTGAGATTAGAAGACTACAATTCAAGCAAAATTGATGGAAGGACTCGCCATCTATCATATTTCAGAGAGACGTGTGGTCCATCTACAAGATTTAAGGCCTTTCACAGAGCAACGTGTATAACAACTTTCCTACCAATTTTGGTACCAAGATTTGACGCATTGGCCATGGCGGCCATGAGTGAAATACAAAAATGAAAAGGTTGTTGATAACGTTTTCCTTGGAGTTTCGGCAACATGTCCCGCCTTGTCATTTTCCATAAAACAAGTAAACAAGTGGGGATTCCTCTGGTTCTCTCATTGGGTCATACTTATCAATTTCTAATAAAAATACACTTTCAGTCTACTTCTTTAACCCTATTGTTGAGCCTCAGTAACGTCAATCCATTATTTTCTGCTAAAGCAGTTACTTGCCCAAACAGTGGTGCAAAAATTTCAAAAGCAAACAAAAGAAAGTCATAAGGAAAGAAAGGCTGTTCTTCAATAATAGAGTTAGAACTTATTATTGAAGTGAAACTCCTGTCATGGCTACTACCTGCAACAACTCCAGAGATTCATCACTGCCCAGCCAAAGGTAAACCTTGTACCTTCTTTTTCAACTTCTGCTTTTACAGATTCAGTTTCTTGCTTTTCTGACCCTTTTTTATTCCTTTTAACAAGCATGCCTCACCGATTTTGTGAATGTGGTTTTGCTGCCCTTGTTTTGTGTCTCTTGGATTAGTGTCTATGCATACTGAGTCTTTGGTATAATTGAGTTTGAGGATGACAGGTAATATCCTGTGGTAGCAATTTATTCATGCAAGCATGGATCTTGTCATTCAATTATAGGTTTATATGAAATATAATAAATTTAGGCGGTAAGTTGTTTTATGATCCATATATATTTGACTTTCTCTGGCTTGTGGTAATTTGATTGTAACGTTCCAATATCATATCGGTACTAACGATACCATGAGAATAAAGACTTAAACCCATGTTTGTGATGAGCTTACCCATATTTGGTGAGGCGCTTTACAAGATAAACCATGAGATTATTTGGATGAAAACAGATAATATGTTTGGATGCAAATTTCCGTAATTGATGTCAGAATAATCATCAGTAAAAAGTGTGAGTTAAGTGTTACATCATGAAAATCACTTCTAAAATTTTAGTGATTGGGAGCTAAGTGCTATACGGTGATTCTTCTCTTTTTTTATTAAATTATACCTATGATGATTTAAAGCTTGCTCCAAGATTGTCTCATAATTACCATTTCATAATTAAGTTCAATTTTCATTATTTAATGGTAGTTATATTATATATTCCTGCCATTTGCTTCTGAGTTGGAAGACTGACAATTGGATCAACCCACTAAGTTGGCCTTTGTTGCTTGACAGGCAGCTAATTATTGGTTGTGAGACAGTCAATGGTGTTTTTTTTTCACGAAAGGATCTTATCAAGACTAACTACTTTGTGGTTTATTTCATTGCAGGAAACAGAGTTCAAGAACAGATTCATATTTACTTATTTGCCTCAAATTCTAGTGTTTGATATTAATTTAAACTGCCTCTATATTATTTGGTTATGTCAACTATTACATGTTGAATCTGTTAGTAGATTTAAGATAAACAGAAATAGTAAGAAAGAAGAAAATATGGTTTTGAGGGGTGAATAACACTGTCTTAAAGGTAATTATGTCTATAGGATACAACAAAGCCTTAAAACTCTCTAAATCAGAAATAGTAAAATTGGCCAGGTAGAAAAATCTATTTATAATAAATGAACAATCATTAATCAAACCAATTCAAAAAGTCATAACATTTTGTATAGTCATATTTTATTGTTTAAGTAAACTTTATTTAAATAATCATGTCTTTTACTGTTCAAGCATATTTATTCGGAATCAATAATATTCCAAAATAAATAAAAATAATAATAATAAAGATTTAAAAATTAAATTTATTTGCCAAACAAGCCCAAGTGTCCATCTTTGACTTTTAAAATTATTTAACCCACTAGGAAAACTCCTAATAAACCCAAATAACTCGGCCCACTCCAACACTTAACTCAATTATTTAAATAATATAAGTAATTTCTTTTAAACCATTTATAAGTGATCTTTCTACTCAATGTAGGATACACCACATTCTAAACTACCAATAGAATCTGAATTGACAAAAGAATTTATCTCTTCTTGAAATGAAACCTGTCCTCAACCAATTCAGTTAACTGGCTTACAAATTGATTTTTCTTGATGTCCTACTATTTTGCTTTATGCTTTCTGGATTTTCTTAGATAAGCATGTTTAACCCTGAACAGACCAGTGTTTTGGAATTCAAATCTGATAAAGCATCATTACAACCCGTTATATGGTGACTTTATTTACATTAATACATTCTTCATTGTTTGGTCATGCATTTACACATGCTTGGTAATTAGTTAAGCTTGTGTTTTCCCTTTGACAGACTAGTAGGGAAAGTGGCATTGGTCACTGGCGGAGCAACTGGCATTGGTGAGAGCATTGTGCGTCTATTTCACAAGCATGGTGCCAAAGTCTGTATAGTTGATGTGCAAGACAACCTTGGTCAGCAAGTCTGTCAATCCCTTGCCGATGACTCAAACGTTTGCTTTTTCCATTGCGACGTGACCATAGAGGAAGAAGTTCACTCTGCAGTTGACTTTGTAGTCAACAAGTTTGGTACACTCGATATCATGGTCAACAATGCTGGATTGTCAGGTCCACCATATGATGATATCCGCAACTATGATTTATCAGATTTTCAAAAGGTGATGGATGTGAATGTGAAGGGTGTTTTCCTTGGAATGAAGCATGCTGCTAGAATTATGATTCCTCATGAAAAGGGTTCTATCATTTCTGTCTGTAGTGTTTCTAGTGTCATTGGGGGCCTAGGACCCCATGCATATACAGGGTCCAAACATGCTGTTTTAGGCCTTAACAAGAATGTTGCAGCTGAGCTAGGAAAATATGGGATACGTGTGAATTGTGTTTCTCCATATGCAGTTGCAACAGGCTTAGCTTTTGCTCACTTGCCTGAGGATGAAAGAACTGAAGATATGCTAGCAGGTTTTCGTGCTTTTGTTGGGAGAAACGCTAACTTGAATGGGGTGGACTTGACTGCTGATCATGTGGCTAATGCTGTTCTCTTCTTAGCAAGTGACGAAGCCGGGTACATAAGTGGAGACAATCTTATGGTTGATGGTGGCTTTACAAGCACAAATCACTCATTGCGTGTCTTTCGATGAGGAATGATGAAATTCAAATGTGAAATAAGCAGTTTCATTAGCTTAGCTGCCTAGGTCCTAGTTTTTATTCAACTTATACGATATTATATTTCCTTATTTTCCTTTTTCTTTCATTGGTGCAGTAGGCTTAGTTCAGTCAGTTTCTTGATAAGAACTTAAATATGTAAATTTCCTTTCCAATATAAAATGGGTGGAAGATCGAAGAATTATTCTTATTATCACTGGACAATCATTTAAATTCTGTTCGTTAGTTGATGAATTTTATGTGAAAAATGGCTCGACTTCCATACATTCAAATATCAATGTGGACAAACTGGTTGGCACCATAGCAGTGCTATTGAAGGCAAGGGTGGTAATGGTGATTGTGATGAAAAGTAATACAGATTAGGAGATTTCGGAGGTGAATATGAATATGGTGAGATTTCATTTTGTAGGATCTAAGAGTGCCGGCCGCTCTAGAATTCTGAAAAACTAGCATTGGATTCATCAACTATTTGCAACCCCTCCGAAAGTAATTTCCGTTGTTGAGATGACGAGTATGACCTAAATTTACCTTGTTACAAAGATAGAACAGGTGAAACCTGTAATTTGGGATAAATTCACTGCAGAATTGTTTAGAGGGAATTAAACACAACTGATTTTGCTATCTAGACAAGTTAAACAATGTACTCGGACTGAGACTCATGTTCATGAAAAGGTTTACAAAGACGAGAGCGTTTCTTGTACTGCTTTTACTTGCATCCAAGCTACCCCGGGTTAAAAGTTAGTTATTAATTTTTAGACTTACAAGTGGATAACTACATATATATCCGTTGACAGTAACGGGCCTTATCTAACTAAAGCCTGCCGAACAGCAACAAAGAACCATAAACCCATGTCTGCTCTTCAATGGTGCTGCCTTTCTTCTCTCAAAACCACTGCTCCCCTCTCCTCTACTAACAATCAGAAGAAGTCTCCTTTCAAAATTTCCTTCTCTCAAAACCAAACTAGTGATGAAGCTTCCCAGCCCATCTCACCAAGCTTCGAAGAAACTGCTTCGGAGTCCACCCAGGTACAGGGTCATATAGACCCTGTCAAGCTTGCTTTTGAGAGGGCTAAAGCGTATAAAAAAACGAAAGTGAATCCAGATTCAAAAACTGAACAGAACCCAGAAGGGGATTCTGATGGGGATGGGAGAAAGACTGATGGAAGTAAGGAAATTCCAGTTTCAGTTAAGGTTGCAATGGAAAAGGCAAGAGAGTACAAGGAGAATAGTGGGGTTCTTGGTGGTGTTGAGAATAACAGTGAGAGCAGAATTAGTTCAGGTACTGTTTTGGATTTCATGTCTTATATCGGAGAGTATAGTTTTTTCTCTCTTATTAGAACAGAGGGAACGTATATTTTGGAAGAATTAGGATTCTAATATATAATCACAGTCCTTTTTGTGTCCAAAAAAACTTTTATCTGTTGTTTCTGAGTCGTTCTAACTGATGGGTGAAATCCAAAAAACTTTGGAATTCTTTTCTATTTTACATTCACCAATAAACATTTTTTGAAATTTAGATGGTTTTGTGAAAACATGCACCCAAATTATAAGAAATTGTCCTTTTTGATCCTATTGTCCTCTTTGACCTTAAAATTGTAACGCCCCTAATCCCACATCAGAAGGAAGGATGTGATTGTAACGCCCCTAATCCCACATCAGAAAGATGTGTGGATAAGGAATGATATATATGTAGAGACTTAATCCCAAACTTGTGAGACGTCTTTTGTGGGACAAAACTGTGAGACCTTTGGGTCAAAGTGGACAATATCTCGCAGGTTGGGTGCAGATCTCTACAAATGATATCAGAGCGGTCACCAGAGAATCACTAAGTGTTACACGATGGTCTGGTGTGATCTTGGTCCTATGAATGGACTCGGCTTGACAGGGACGTCAAGCATTAAAAGTGGAGAGATTGTAACAACCCTGAATCTCGCATCAGGAGGATGTGTGGATAAGGAATGATATATATGTAGAGACTTAATCCCAAATTTGTGAGACGTCTTTTGTGGGACAAAACCGTGAGACCTTAGGGTCAAAGTGGACAATACCTCGCAGGTTGAGTGCAGGCCTCTACAAAAATATTACGGTTTTTGTTGTAGATGTTGTCCATTTTGATTTTAAAATTTTGTCTGTTTTGACTTAGGTATCACGATTTTGTATTAAGTTATTATCCGTTTTAACTCTAAGGTATTTGTCCTTTTTGATCCTATTATCCTCTTTGACTCTAAAATATTACGGTTTTTGTTGTAGATGTTATCCATTTTGATTCTAAGATTTTGTCTGCTTTGACTTAGGTATCAAGGTTTTGTGTTAAGTTATTATCCGTTTTAACCCTAAGGCATTACAGTTTTATCCATTTTGATCTTAAAATCTCATGATAAGATATTGTCTACTTTATTCTAAAGTATTATCCGCTTTAACGTTAAAGTATTGTTTGCTATGATTATAAAGTATCACGATTTTATTTTAAGGTATTATCCATTTTATATTAAGTTATTATCTGCTTTAACCCTAAGATATTATAGTTTTATCCATTTTGACCTTAAGGTCTCGTGATAAGCTATTGTCCATTTTATTCTAAAGTATTATCCGCTTTAACCCTAAGGTATTTGTCTTTTTTTATCCTATTGTCCTCTTTGACTCTAAAAAATTACGGTTTTTGTTGTAGATGTTGTCCATTTTGATTCTAAGATTTTGTCTGCTTTGACTTAGGTATCACGGTTTTGTGTTAAGTTTTTATCCGCTTTAACTCTAAGGTATTACAGTTTTATCCATTTTGATCTTAAAATCTCATGATAAGATATTGTTTACTTTATTCTAAAGTATTATCCGCTTTAACGTTAAAGTCTTGTTTGCTATGATTTTAAAGTATCACAATTTTATTTTAAGGTATTATCCATTTTGTATTAAGTTATTATCCGCTTTAACCCTAAGGTATTACAGTTTTATTCATTTTGACCTTAAGGTCTCGTAGCTATTGTCCACTTTATCCTAAAGTATTATCCGTTTTGACGTTAAAGTCTTATTTGCTATGATTCTAAAGTATCACGATTTTATTCTAAGGTATTATTTATTTTGATTTTAAGTCTCACAATTTTATTCACTTTGACTCTGAGCTCTTACGATAAGAAACGTATTGCTTGCTTTGAGCATAAGGTATCATGGTTTGGTTCGTATCACGGTTTTGTCTTAAGATATTATCCATTTTGACCTTAAGATTTCATGATTTTATCTCACCAAAAGTGTGTCACAAGTTGAAAGTAGTACGAATACTTATATTTCAAGACCAACCTAACACTTATATTCCAAAATCAACTTTAGTATATAGCCGATATGGGATTCATAACTCATCTCTAGGATCATGATATCTTCTTCACTCCAACGAGCCCACCAATCTTGATGGCATATTGCTAGTATCTCTAAAGTTGGTTTTCATATCATTTGTGGAAACTCACACTTAATCTACGAGATATTATCCTCTTTAATCCGAAAATCTCACAATTTTATCTCATAAATAATATCAAAGCAATAACTAGTTAGCAGGAATTAAGTGTTATATCATGAGAATCAGTAAGTATTACACGGTAGAGAGTTACCTTTGAAATCTCAATATCTGGTGTGATCTTAATTTTGTAGTTGAACTCGACTTGATAGGAATATCAAGCTTTAAAGGTGAGGAAATTGTGATGTTCTCGTTAAAAAATTTTATGGATATAAATATAGACATTTAAATTTAAATCTATAATGCACCTTTTGTAGGCATGAGTCTCCACAAGTTTTGTTATACGTTGCATATTCAATATATTACATATTACTAGGAGAGTCACAGTCACGCAGTTGATAAAAGCGTCCACAAGTTTTGTTATACGTTGCATATTCAATATATTACACATTACTACGAGAGTCACAGTCACGCAGTTGATAAAGCGTCATACTTTGAAATATGTTGTGTGCTGATAATTGCTAGGCACTGAGTTTTTTAGGCAAGAAAACTGAGAGTGAGGGTACTTCACAACAAAACAAGACTGTGGAGAAGAAGGTTCAGAAGAACAAAAAATTGTCAATTTCAAGCATTGACTTCGTTGGGCTTGATTTTGCTGATAAGAGAAAGAGCAGAGGACTACCACCTGGACTGGTTCCAATTTCGGACCCTTTTCCCGAAGGCGACTTGCCTGATGTGGAGATTATTGTTGGGGACACCAGCAAGTTTGGGGAGGCAACAACATCAGAGACAAAGCAAACTCCAGAAGATAACTCTGATTTTTATAAGCCGAAAGTCTCAACATGGGGAGTCTTTCCTAGGCCTGGCAACATCTCCAAGAAGGTATGATAGTTTCATTTATGGGTTTTAATGTGTCTTTCTTGGCATTCCTGATCTCGTGCCTTCCAATAATCTCACGGTGGCTAAAAGAAATCTGATCATTTGGTTGGATAACTTATTTACGGAACATGTCAAACAGACTCCTAGTTCGCAGATTACAAACAAATGACCATTTTAGCCTGATGAAGTATCAGATGTTGCTGGTTGAATTTGTCTATTGATCCTGTAGAGATAATAAGTGATCAATTTTGCAATCATTGAGAGAGGCATTGATTGGAATTCTTTTCATTTCTGCTGATTAACCGATTGAGAAATGGTTAACAGTTTAGTGAGAATTGGACGTGATGATTGCTGGAAAATAAAAATGTTCTGCATCTGTTACTGTGTAACTGAAATAAACTATAAATAGATATCTTCCACTATTACTCTATGATGCGAAGCGTCTTACTAAATGCATATGGTTTTGCATGAGCATGTGTGTGTGTGTGTGTGTGTGTGTATGAAAATCCTGAGAATTGCTTTTTACTTCTCCATGGTTTTGCATGATCCACTTTAACCAATGAAAATGTTCAAAATTGCAATAAGCTTCAATTCTCATGATTGTGGAATTACAAGATGCCTCCATCATGTTCCTCAAACTTCTCAAAATTCAAATTGCTCAAAAAACTATTTCTAACATGATTTCATGGTGTTAGTTTGGTGGTGGAAGGACTATTCGACCTGGGGAAGTGCTTGAAACAGAAGAAGATAGAGCTGCTAAAAATGAGCGCAGCAGGCAATTGCTTGCTGCTTACAAGAAGAAAGTTGGATTAGATGTTGACCCAAAGCTAAGATCTGAATGTGAGAAGGTATTCAAATTTGAATGCTTGCTTCTTTCAAGTTATTAACAAACCAAAAAAATTGTCTCTTAACACAATCCATACAATGTGATACTTCCTTTTTTTTATTTTGATTTTTCTGTCACAAATTAGTTGTTGGTAATAGACTGTATTAATCCATAGACAATAGTATCTCATAAGTCATAATGTTACAAGAAGAATTTTGACGTGTCCCATGTTGAAAAATAAAAGAAAATGCATCAGATAAAGGAAATTGAGAACTTTTATACTAAATTTCCATTCACAATTTTTGAAGCAAGCCAGTATGGATGTATGTATGAGTCAAAAGAATTAACAGCTTATTCTTATGAATGAGTTGTGCATTGTGTAGAATGTCAATGTAAATGTTGGAGGTGAAAATAGAAACCACAAATGGTTTTGCATAAAGGACACTGGCCAAGCTTAGCATTCCTCTATTTTGTCAGAACTACCCCCCCCCCCTCCCCGTAGAAACCTATCAAACATTAATTATGTTATACTTATTTTTTTCTGTTGCCTGCAATTGGACAATAATTACTTCAGGACCATTTTCCTGCATTGGTTTTTGTAATTACAGGCATTAAGGGATGGTGAATCATTGATGGATTCTGGGAAGCTTAAGGATGCTTTATCCTACTATGAAAGAGTAATGGAGAAGATGCCTTATCTGGTAATTCTTCTGAATGAACCACAGGTTGAATAATTTGACTTCCATGGCTACAATAGGGCATCATCCTAATTTTGAATGAGAACTGAAAAATTTTGGAAAGTTTATCTTAGAGTTACTCACAACCTTCTCTCGACAAAATATGATTTTCTGTTCTGCCTCTATTAATTGATGGCTGAACATTTTTTTAATAGACAACATAAGTCAGTATGGTTTAGGTCCAGATCATCCATCTAGAACCCTACATCGTTGCTTGCAGATGTTCTACTCGTCGTGACATTATTGCTTCCCAACGAACTAGATGTTTTAATTTTAGTAATTTCTCTTTCAGATATCCAGTCAAACTCTGGAGCACTGAAGCTTTTCTAAATCAATCTTATCCCAAAAGGATCTCAATTCATTATAGCAAAGTAATTAAATGTAATACGGTGTTCTTTTCCTTGTAGTTATTCTCTTTTTATTGTGCAGAGTGAACTTCATGGATTAGCTGCTTTGCAGTGGTCTATATGTCAAGATTCACTTAGTAGGTAAATTATGTAATATTTAATCTGTTGGAACCATAGTGGTGTACATCGTTAAAGTTTAAATTCTTTCACTCTGTTGTTGGACACAATTTGAAGCTAGCTACTTATCATATGAAAATTGATTAAAAAGCAAGTATATATAGACTGAGGATGGAATAATTAGTGACAAATTTTTCCATGTTGGTAGTTCATCTGATAGTAACTATTATTACTCGATGCAACTCAGAATTTTTAATTCATGTCCTACTTTCTATTCTGTTTTTGTGTTTAGTGACTAGGACAATCACAAAAGTAACATATTTTTATGATCTGATCCAGTTCTGCATAGGATGTTCAAGCACCTTTTGTTTATATAGGAAAATCTGGATCTTTTTTCTTTTTTACTTTGCTCAATAACCTGCACAACAGAACATGTTAGAAATATAACAAAGGCTTTAATAGTTTAGAAATGCATATAATTCCATGGAAAGTTGGAACATAAAGTCTGGCCTATTTAATGTAGTGGCAAATTTCAATCCTATTTATATAGAATTTGTTGCTTTTCTTCTTGTTGTGCTTTGACAGCAAATCAGGCAAATATATGCATCTAAAATGTAATCTGAAATAATGTTGCGATACTTTAAAACAATTGTCTTTCTTCTGCTCTTAACTGTATGCCATTGCCAAGACTTCTTATTCACATAAAGGGTGGATTATAAACAGTTGCAATTGTTCACAGACCCAATGAGGCTCGGATTATGTATGAGAAGCTCCAGTCTCATCCAAATGCCAAAGTAAGCAAGAAAGCAAGGCAGTTTATGGATAGTTTCAAGGTAATTGATAATGAACTTATCGGTTGCTCCAAATTCCTATGCTGAATGTACATTTTGCGGAAGCACTTCATTTTGTTCATTACTTATCAAAATGTGCAAAATAAAGTGATAATGTTTGCTAGAATCAATAAATAGTTGACATAGTTGGTCTTCTGCAAAAAAACAAAAAAAAAAAAAGTATTATAAACCCTGATTAATGCAACCCTAATAAAAGAAAAGCCCAAGTGGTAAATTGATATTAGAGTGTACTAGATTGAGATATGGAAACAAAATGAGTAAAACCAGTGTACTTGGGTATTGCAGATCATATCATCTTTTAACCATAGTGACTTTGATGTGTAATTAGAGTCGATCATTACCGCATTTATTTTCTGCCTCATATTTAGTGCATCTTTACAATAACAACGATTGTCACGTATGGTAGGCCATGGAAATGATGAAGGTGACAGGCTCAAACCCTTCATCAACTTACACAGGCTACGATAAATATTTTGAGGCATTAATTGAAGACAAAGCCTACTACTCTCCAGAAGGGGCTGAAGTCACAGAAGGAGCACTGAATCAAGCCCTCCCATATATGGTTTTCCTTCTTTCTCCAATTGTTGTTGTATTATTCATTGCTTTACAGAAACGATATGCAAATTAATATAAATGCAATGTCTCATTATATCTTTCCTAAAATATATACTTAGATTTCATTTTTTCCAAGTGGTACAATATTTCAGTAATACATAGATTTTCTTCTCCACGATTCATAAATTGATATCTTTCTGATAATTGCAAAGGAAATTTGTCATGAGTGCTTAATGGATAATTAATAAAGGACTGAAGGCCGACATCCCTAACGCAAAACTGATACATATGTGCATACACAAGGATGCTCTTTTGCAGCTTAGGCCAGTCAATAAATAGGGTAGGCAAGGGCCCAATTTGGGAAGAGGGAACCAAGCATGTCTGATTATGTTGTGAAATCTTTAAATCACAGAAGTATTAAACTATTAATAATAGTAAATCACAGAAGCAAGAATTCTAGATTTTTGAGTATATCACACAAGTAATAATAGTAAAACAATCAAATTTCTTTTGCATTTTTAAATCACAAAAGATGGTAATAAGAATCTTGGGAAACTACTTGCAAACGTTTCCTAAGGCTTTGTTCATGCTCTACTTTTGAGCTTCGTGGGCGAAAACAAGAATGTGCATTCAGTTTTCAACAAACATAAGGAGTTGAAACTTCTGGATGGAAGAATTGTAGTTTGATTTCAGGCGATTCAAGAAAAAGTGATTGAAGCTCAGCAGTATAACTTCTCAAACTATCAGAATTTGAGCTTTGTTCTTGTGAACCACCTACACTAACACCAGCCTCGGCAGGCTCACTCTGATCCCCAGCTTTTTTTGTCAAAATATCATCATGAAACAACTTAAGTGCATCTGTAGTTGAAAGCGCATTCATGGATTTGTAAAACTCCTGGAATCCATCTCTCTTTTCTTGTGTGTCAATCAACTTCTCCCTCGACTCATCTGGAAGACAAGCCAGAGTGCTTTGAAGGCAAAGACATCAAAAACAGGAAAAGGAACAATATTTAAGCCAAGATTTAGAGCAATTTCATGTATCAAATATATAAATCAATCTAGACATCAACAAAGAATAAAAAGTTTCCTCGTTTTCATTTTACCTCGTAACACCTCTGGCAAGGCCCCGGCTGTACCCTATGGAAACTGATTGCTTAAAGCCAATATTAAAACCTTCCTGTGCAGAAGCTTGTTTCCCTGCTATCAGGCCATCACGATATCCAATCTGGAAATTCTCAACAATGAAACCGATATCAAATACTTGACAACCATCATAGATTTATATAGAATGAAAAAGAAAATCTAAATTGTCAAGTACTGTGTGGAACTGGTCATGCCTCCTCTGCCACTCCCTGTCTAAATCAGATGATTTATCCAATTCCTCGTCAGAATCACCCCATAAACATCCATCTTCAGCCTGAATGTCAGCCTCATTGAAACCTAAACGAAACAAAAATGACCCTACTGATTAATGCACAGCTTTCGGGTATCGCGTGGTGGGATTGCTACTAGTATTAATTAATTTTACCGTTGGCAATTGAAGAATGGCCCAAGTGAAAATTGGATAGCTGCAAGCTTTCTGAATAGAGCTGTTGAGCCAATTTGTTATCCATTTCTCTGTAACAGAAAAAAAAAATCACTTCGGCCTTTCATTAAACACCCTCCAAGTTGCAAGCCTTATATATATATTTTGTTAAGAAAAATGATCTTTGACAAAAGCTAAAACATAAAATCTCTTCTTTTTCTAATCTAAAACTCAAATAAGAACGAAATCAGATCATCAAATTCCAACGTAATTTTTAAAAGAAAAAGAATTTCAAAAAGAAATTAAAATAATAACACACAATTAAGATTAATAATTAAAATAACAATATCTAAAGCTTACCTCATAAATGACCCCTTCGTCCCTCAGTTCCTCTTAAAGCCCCAAGGTCCCAACTCAATTACGGTGTAAAGAGAAGCTCTCTTAGATGGACTTGTCTGACACTATTTTGAACATAAAGAGGCGACCTTTTCGCCTTTTGGCTACGTGCTGTTGCGATTGAAAGATGAACTGAACGGAGGGTGGTAGGAGACTACGAGGTCGGAATTTATGTGACCGTCGCGTGGCAGGCTGACTGGTAAGAGAAGAAGAAGAGAAGAGAAGTTAAGTTGAGATAAAGATTATTTACTTTAAATTGATAATTGGGCTTTGAGAAGGAGTTAGTAAAATATAAGCCCAAATCCTCTCCAGTTATGTCTTCTTCAATTTAGGTTTATAATGCTTTGGGCCATTTTACATTTGAGTTTTGTGCCTTTCTATATCCGTAACTTAAATTTTGGTTACGTACGTACCATAGCGTCGGTTTGTTGAGTTGGAACTTGAATTATTTAAATTTAGGTCATATGTAAGTTACAGTGTCGTTTTTTTATTATATTTCATTTGTTTTATTTTTTTTAATTTTTAAAAAATATTTAATAAATATTTTAAAAATATAAATATATATATATTTAAAAGATTTTATTTGTTTATATATGGAACCCTCTTATATTAATTTTTTTGTTTTACTTTTTTACCCTTTTTAACAAACTTTTTTAAAAATATTTAATAAAGTTTTTTTTTTAAGACTTACTTACTATCAATGTTACATGTTTTTTTTTTCTTTTTAAATTTTTTATTTTTTATATATTTATTAAATAATTTTTATGTTTTTTAAACTCACTTGATATTAAGAGTTTGTCATATATTAAGTCATTGGATTACTTTTTTTGTTTATCTTTTTTTTTTTCGTTATTTACTTTTTATTTTTAAAAAATATTTAATATTTATTTTAAAATATTTTAAAATTGTTTTATTATAGAGCTCATTGGATACAATTATTTAAAATATAAATTTTTTTTGTTATTTTTTTAATAATTTGATGATTTTTAAAGAAAAAAATATTGAGAAAGTGTCGAGACATCTAGATTTGATTTTTTCTTTTTTGCCAGCCCTTTCTTTTTCTTTTTTTTTTGTTTTCTAAAATCAACGATATAAATTTTTCAAGAAAAATTCATTATTGCAAACGTGGCGTGATAACAACTTTTTTTTTTTTTTTTTTTTGCTTTTCGTATTTCTTTCCTTTTTCTAGTTTTTCTTTTAGAATAAGATTATATTTTTTAAAGAAAAAAAAAAACAAATGTGTACCCATGTCACCCTATTTCTTTTTATTGTTTTTTATTTTTAATCTTTTAATTAATCAAATTATTATTTAATACATTAATTTAATTTTTTTTTAAACCCAATTGAGACATCCATATAATACCCTAATGAACTCCCTTATTTTTTTTTCTTTTTTTTTTTTTTTACTTTTTATGCCTTTTTTATTAAATTAATGTTGTTATAAAAATTAAGACAATAGAGATATCTACATAATAACCCATTTGTCTTTTTTTCTTATTTCACTTTTTTTGTACTTTTAAATAAAATTTGTAATAAAAAATGTTGGTTGATAAAAATACAAAAAAAAAGACATATCCGACGGATTTTAATCAATCTCAATTCAATAAGGTGCATATTTTTTAAATCAAAATTAAGTTTGGATGAATTGAGTTTTTTAATAAGATATAGCATTGGGATGAAACATATTTTTAAAATGCCTTATCCCAATTCATTTAGAAATATATAAAAAATATATTTTATATTATTAATTTAATTATATATTTATGTATTATATTAATAAAATTATTATTTAATACTTTTAATTTAAGAATTTAATATTTTAAACTCAATAAAATATTCACGTGGCATATTCTATAAATGCTTTTTTTTTTTCATTTTTTGGTTTATTTTATAGTTTCTTTTGTTTTAGATTTTTATTTTTTAATTAGATACATTTTTGTGATAATAGGAGGTCAATTTAAGTATCTATGTATTACCCCTATTTGGATTTTTTATTTTTTAGTTTTTTAATTAGATAAATTTTGAAAAAAAAATAATGAATGAAGATGGAAAACAAAAAAATTTAACCTATAACACTTTTATTTGATAAAAAATAATATTTAATAAATTTCGATCAATCTCGATTCAATATAAGTGTTTTTATAAAAATTGATACCGAATCAAGTCGGGTCTATTTCTTATAAAAAAAAGTAAAGACAAATCAAAAGTGGATTTTAGCATACTTTGCCTTAAGCCAATTTAAGATATATATATATATATATATAAGTATATATTTTATTATCTATTTAATTTTATATAAATTTTGTAAGAAAATAATGTTATTGGAGGGGTCTATATAGCATCCTCATTTGTTTATTTTTTTTGTATTTTTTAATTTTTTAATTAGATCAATTTTATAACAAAATGAATCGATTGATTGAAATAATAAAACAATTGGTGTTCAATAAATTTTTATTCGGCTCGATTCAATATTAGTGTTTTTGTAAAAAAATCAATGTTGAATCAATTCAAGATAATATGCTAATTTAGAAATTCACGTGTCACCTTCCTTAGGGTTTTTTTTACCTTTTGCCTATTTTTTTGTTAAATTATGTAAAATTTACAATAAAAAATAGATGAATATGGATTGCAAAACAAAAGGTTTGGACCCACTACAACACGTAGACAACATAGAGACACTCACCTTTGTTACTTAACAAAAGGGGTTTGAGCTTTTACTAAAATTATATATAATATTATATTACAATGCATATAAAAACTTTATAAAATTTATTTACATGAACGCTTAGGTATATAATTTCTTTAGATGACACATAGGATAATAATGAATAATTATATTTATATTATCAAAATAATCAAATATAAAAAACTTTTAAATTAAATCATTAAATAGTAATAAGAATTCAAATATTAATTAGAAAAGAGATAAAAAGAAATATGATTATTTACTTTATTTAATATTATTTAAATCCATTTAAAATCTTCAAATTTGTTTAAATAGATAAGACTTTGGTTTATATATATAGGATTTAGATTTAGTTTAAATCTAAATGAAAAAGCAATTTGATTTAAAATAAATAGATAAAATTATATATTTAAAATAAAGAGCAAATTATAATATAAATTTGAAACTTTAAAAATTAATATTATTTAATTCAAATTTGATTAGTTAGATAGATATATTTCTACTTTAAAATTTAAAATCTCAAAATTGGATAATTTTACTTTCATAAAATTTCTTATATTCCTTTTCTTTAAACGTTTTATAATTTAAAAAAATATTACTATATTTTTAAACATTTGAAAAATTTTAAAGGTTTTATAATCAAAATTATCTATACACTTTAATTTTATGCAATAAACCTATATAAACCGACAAAACCTATAAATGATGTGTGTTACACAATTATTATTTTTTGGATTTACAACTTTTCTTTAAAAGGTATACTGTTATTTTTATAATTTTATTTTTATAAAAAACTAATATTTATTCTAATTCAAATTTTCTTTTAACATACATTTTTGTTTTAATTCCAAGTTTAAGTTTGATTACTCTACAAAGTTGTCAAAGAAAATTCATGCTTCCACTACCTATTTTGGGTATACCTTTTTGACTTTATTCATTGTTTCTCACAATTTAGATTTTAAATGATTGAAAACAAAGTCTTTCTTTCATTGTTTCTTTGAAAAGAAAGTTTTGGTTTTTTCCTTGATTGAATTTGAAATGGGTGGTTTTGATTATTGAATTAGATGGATTTTCTACTTTTATTTTGAATACCTTGCCTTTGGTTTTAGTTGATGTTGGATCTTCTTGCATGTTATGAGATTGGGTTTGTTTCCGGTTGCAATAATTTTATTGTTGGATTGCGTGAAATTTTTTTACTTGTTTTCCTAATGTTTGTTAAAAATATATATAATTTTTCTTTTCAAAATCAAAATTTTTTATATGATCATTATTTCCAATTTCCTTTCTTATCAAAACTATTTTTGAATTGCTATTTGAATGTGAATGAGCATGAAGGATAATGATTTTAAACAATAATTTTTGTAATTTATTTTCAAATAACATTTTAATAAGTTTAAAATGTTATATTTACGCTAGTTTTTATCATTTTTTAGTGGACCAAACTTTACAATTATTTATTTGAATTTAAATCCTTTTTTTTTTTTCAAATAATCTGCATCCAACTATATATTATTCAAAATAATCAATAATAAAAACTTTCATATTAAATTAAATATTCAAAATATATAAATATTGATTTATATTTAAATTCTTCTTTTAATCAAGATATATCTAAATCCAATTATATATTATTCAAAATAATCAATAATAAAAACTTTCAAATTAAATCATTAAATCATATTAAATATTCAAAATATATCTAAATATATTTTTTAAATCGGGATATATCTAAATACACTAAAATTGTTTAAATTCAAACTATTTAAAAATTTTGGTTTAAGGACTTAAAACAATTCATCTTAATTCATTTCTTAAATCTCCAATTAAATAAACGGATAAAAATATCCATTTAAATAAATAGATAAAAACATATTTAATTATTTATATTTTAAAATACTTGATGTAAAATTAAAAATATAATAGATTTTTGCTATTTTATTTCATCCAAAACTCTTTTCTTTACTCATTCTATTCTAGATTTCTTCAAATTCTTCATCTAAAAGTATTTTTTTTCATTCATTTTTTTTCAAATCTCTATTTCCTCCCTTAATTTCCCTATTCTTATATTATTTTTCTTTTTACAATAATTTATAGGATCAATAAGAATAAACAAAGGATCTTTTCAAAAATAAAAATAAAAAAGGTATTTTTTTTCGTTTCTTGGGTTATGTGATTTATTTTTAAGAAGGTTTTATTTTTTTATTTTCATGTAATTTTTGGAAACATATATCAGTCTATCGCTTCTACTTTAAAATTTATTCTATTATAATGATAAAAATTTTAAATTAGAGTTTTCTAATCATTTTTTTTTTTTTTGTAATGAATAAAGCTTTCTGATCATGGATATATGTATGCATAGAGAAAATTAGTGTTTAAGGGATCGAGGAATGATTTAGAATATGATGAACTTTTCTTGATTCAATTCCTAAATAATATTTTTGTCTTCAATTTAAAATTCATCTATTCTTTTGATATGCTTTATTATTAAATTTTAGTTGCACTTTATCCTAATTATTGATTTTTCTTATAATTTTTTTAGATTTATAAATACTTTCTACATTTGAATTTTATGCAAACCTTGTTTTTTATATAACAAATTTTTCTTTTTTACCTATTAAGCAATCAAAATTATGAAATGAATTTAATTAAAAATTTCAATGTGTTAAATATTTACTAATATACTTTTTATATTAAGATAGAGGTCAAAGAGTTATTTAAAAATTTTGTTGATAAATTATATTTTTATTTTAGAATTTTTATACTTTCAATTTATGAAATTAAAAATTAAATCAAAGATTTTAATATTAAATATATAAATTTAATAAAAATAAAAAAAGAAGATACAAATATTTAACAATAAAAACAAAATTTTGAATCTACAAAAATTCTATGTAGATTTTTAATGAATTAATTAAATTAAATATTATTATAAATATAAAAATCCTGTGCATTTGCAAGGGTAAATATCTATTTAATTTTACGAAACAAAACTATTTAGAATTACTACTAATAACTTAAAAAAAGTTTATATTAGATGTACCATGAGCATATAACTCTTATACATTATCAATGAGCTACACAATAACAATTCATAAAAAATTAATTCTAATATTTTAAAATCCTAAAAAGTAAACACACTTAAGCTCTCTGTTTATTTAGCAAATTTTTTTTTTTAAAAATAATTTCTACATTGTTTGGTTTTTTGTTAGAAAATTGTTTGGTCGATTGAAAATAACTTATCGTTCAATGAAAAATGAGAGTAAATTTCTAAAAATTGTCTTTTGGAAAAAAATTTTTGAAAAAATAATTATCTTTGAGTAAGATTATTCATCAAGTTTGTGAGTACAGTTCTACTCAAGTCGAACATCGTGAATAATTTTTTAAAACTTAAATTTAATTTGACTCAACTCGAATATTATTATATTAATAAAAAAATTTTTTAATTTAATTTTACTTAAAAATTTTAAAATATTAATTTAAGTCTTATAATATTTTAATTTTAAATATTTTTATAATTTTAGTCAAGCAAGACTTTGAATATGATATTTTAAACTTAACTTAATTTGATTCGACTTGAAATATTATTATATTAATAAAAATATTTTATTTAATTTTAATTAAAACATTAGCTTTAAATATCTGTTGATATTTTAATTTTAAATATTTCTATTTTTACATTATAAATATTTTTAATATTTCAATAATAATTAGTATTATATTATTATTTTAATAATAAAGAATACTATATTAAATAGTATTTTTATTATAATAATAATTAATAGTAAATAATATAATATTATTATGTTACTTATATCAATATTTTTAATAATGCTTAATATTTTTTAATTTAAAATAAATTATTTTATATTTTATTGACTAATGTATTTATATTACTATTTTAATAAAAAATATAAGTAAATAATGTTTTTGTATAAACTTAAAATAGATACTTTCAATATAAAATATAACTATTTTAGTAGTATAAATATTTTTATTATTTAAAATAATATTACTATTTTAATACTATTATATTAATAAAAAATAATATTCAAAATAGTAATACTATTGAAATATTTTAAAGTATTAATATAAACAATAATAGATAGTTTTGTTTTAAGTATTTTTATATTAATATAATATTTTGAATATTAAATGTTTTTATTAAAATATAATTATTTTTTAATATTAATAGTTTTAATAATAAAGATTTTCAATATTTTATTACTTAAGTCAATATTATTTGAAAAAAATAAATTTTTTAGAAAACAATCACTAATAGAAAACTTTTTTTATTGACTAATTCAAACAATAAAAAAAAAATCTCTATTTTTCAAAAAATGTAAACATTTAAAAAAAGCATTTTTGAAAGTCAATTTTTTCTAAATAAAGGGAATCTCAATTTTAAAAATATGTTTAAAATTATTTTTTTTTATGAATTATTGTTTGTGATTCACTTATATTATGTAGCATCTTGGCTATGTATCAAATATAAATTTTTAATTAATGAAAATATTTTCAAAGAAAAACATTTTTGTTACGATGAAAATTATGCCAGTCAAGGTAACCAACTACCAACTAGTCGAGTTGCTGACACATAAATTTAATCATATGAAAGATACAGAGTATGACAATGAAATAATTTCAAAGAACCGGGCTTTTGAACAGGTCAGATGACCTATTAAACTGATGCTATTTCTCTTAAGGCTTCAAAAAAAACGTACAATTTAGGTTTTGTTTGGATTCAATCCACCTCTGGTGGAGGTGTGATTGCAGTCACATTTTGTGTTCACTGGTGGCTTGAGACCCAAGCAGATCTCCGGTGCAATAAGACCTGTGACAACTGCTTACCGGAACTCAAAAGTTCCAGTGACCAATCGCGTCACAGCATTTTTATTTTTTTAATTTTTTCCTTTAGAATTTTAATATTAACCCAAAATTGCGTTAACTCTTATATTTTTCTTTTTCTTAATTCATTTTATTTTTTTATTATATAATAAATTAATAAAATAATTTATTATTATATAGTAAACTAATAAATAAATAAATAAACTTTATTTTAATTTTTTATTATCAATTTTGAATAATTTATTCACAAAATGATTATTTAAAATAATTTAATAATTATTTATTGCATATAATTTTTATTTTAGTAATGTCTTTAATAATCATTTTCTATTTGTTATTTGTATCCAAACATATGTCTCATCATTTAATTTAATATTAGAATAATCAATTTTACCTCTACAATTATTTTTAATCTTATCGAAATTAATCTCATTGTTCATCCAAATGAAAAGCAGTGAGATTGATCCAATAAAATTGAAAATAATAATAAAAGTTACTATAATTGGGATTGAAAAAAATTTTCAATAAAAATTTTGTGGTAAATGAATTTTATTGAAATTAATATTTGAATTCAACTTATGATAATTGAAGTTTAATTGTACCTCATTGAAAGTGTAATTGCATCCAAACATATGCTTAGTCAACCTAATTTAACCAAATTTACCAATTATTTGTTTGAACATTTTGTGTAGCGGGGCGGCCCTTCAGACTAGACAATTCTGGAAGACAGTATGGGTAGGTTGCATGCATCCCTTCAAAGTATTCGTACTGTTGCTTCTTGATGGATGCTTTGATTCTTTATTTCACTATATAAAGTCATCGAATACATTCTCTAAGAACAGACAAATGAAAAGGTTGGTCCTTTTCTTTGGCACGAAGAAAATTGGTCCAATTTAGAAGGGTTTGAGCATTAATAAACTGAAGAAAAGATAAATGGTATTTAATACAGATAGCATAACGAATTCTTATAAAGATGCTCTAAACAAATTTATATATAGAAATCCTTAAAAGATATTCCCTTAATATATTGATTTTCCTACTATCTCAAGCCTTTAATCAGTACTGAGTAATAGACATTTGATCACTGATATTGGGCCATAAGATTATTGCTTATCATGCATCTTTTAAGAACACTTGCCAAAATGCTTGCTCAGAAGAAAAAGATGAGAATCCACCACCCGAAAAGTTTGTTTCTGTTTCATGAAATAATCACTTTCTTTCACAGAAACTTCTGTTTAAAGATTTAAGACGATTAGCCTGAGGACAAAATGTTCCACTAATCCAACGAAAAAAGCTGAGGAATATTTACATTTGATGAAGATGGAGAACACCAAAGCACTGAATATAATTAAGGCAAAGATTCCTTTCTTAATGGCTTATTAAAATGTTTGTTTGAGTTCTTATCTTTAAGTTTTTCCCAAATTATTGTTGAAGTTTGTCATGTTCAATGTTGGCAATGCCATTTTCTTACGGACCTGATTCAGATAACTAAATTACATAACACATTAATTTCTGCTTCTTGATCTAGTGGCCACGGAAGCCTTAAAGAAGATATTAGTGCTTGGGTTCGAACTAAACCCTTCTCTTTCTCTTTTTCATGTAATACAACGTTGCCGTCCTTTCAAACAAAATAAAATAAAATAAATATAAATTGCGAAACAGCTCCAACACAATTATTTAATGGCTTCAAAATATTGTTTAGTTCCGTGATTAAATCACTTAAATTCTAATTATAATGGAGAAGGAATAGAAGTCCCCACAATCTTTATGATGTCTACCTGATTTGTTTGACACTCACTCATGCAACTGAAGAAAAAGTTGTAAATTATTTGTTTTGCTTGAATTTTCCCTCAAACCAGTAATAATTAAAATTGACAATAAATCAACTAAATTCTAATTATAATGGAGAAGGAATAGAAATCCCAACAATCCCTATAATGTTTGCCTGATTTGTTTGACATTCTCAATCATGCAACTGAATAAACAGTTGTAAATTATTTGTATTGCTTGAATTTTCCCTCAAACCACTCATATTTACAATTGACAAGAATCCACAAAACTGTTTGAAAACCCAGAAAAAAAAAATAGAAAGAAAAATTGATCACACACCACTCTAAAGAAACTGCACAAATTGATCCTAAGTAACTGCAAATGAAGACCTGAACCCCAAAACCAACTTCAAGATCTCCTAAAAGCTTCGGTTCTGTTTTCCTATGTTCACAGCTTGAATCAAAACAAAGCGAAATGACTTCCGAAGCAACTACAAACAATTAAAAAAGGAAGCAATGCTCCACTACTCACAAAAACATTGATAATCCAAGACAATAGACTTCTGATCTGTGTTAACTGTTACGTTGTAGATGTTTCGTCGTTTTTTGCAGAGTTCTTTGGCACCCACCACACCCTTATAGATTTGTCAAGGCCTCCACTATAGAGCAAGAAACCACTACCAACATTACAGGGTGATGCCTGCAAACACTTGACTGGCCCTTCATGACCATTTATGACCCCAACTTTACAAAGTTCACCGTAAGCCTCTCGCTTCCAAATACCAATGCTTTTATCAGCTGAGCCACTGCACAAAAAATCTCCCGTCAGGCACATACACAAAACAGCCACATGGTGTGCTTTTGTCTCACTCACTAATTTCCAACTAACAAAATCACCATTCCCTTCCCACCCCAGAACAAACCCATCTGAACCCCCTCCATAGACCCACTTTCCATCTTCAGAAACAACAACTGAATTCAACGAAACATCCTTGTGACCCTCTAAAATCCCCTGCAACGAATGAGAGGTCTTCGCTTCTTTTCCCCAAGCCTTGATCTTCCCATCCGCCGATGCTGAATAGACTATCCCCTTCCAAGCTACCAAACTATTGATAGCATCATCATGGGCCTTAATCGATTCCAAACACTTCAAATCAGATATCCTCCACACCTTAAGGGTCTTATCCCATGAACCTGAATAAATCAACCCGTTACAGACTGTCAAACAAGAAATACTATCCGCGTGTTCAATCCATAAACGCTTATGATGCCGCCGAGTTTGGACATAATTACTTTGCTTCATGAACTTTCCCAAATAGTCCTTGGTAGTAGGAAGTGTGTCGACAAGCTTAAACACGTTCTCTGAGCTTCTTGAAACCTTCCATACTCTGATCCTACTATCCTGATGTGCAGTGAAAACCTTGTTGCTAACAGTCACAATCGCTTTCACCGAGCCATCACCTTGGCCAAACTTTGTGAACTGCCTCAAGTCAGGCTGTTGCCACACTATAATATCCTTACCTTGTGATGCACTTAAGATGAATTCCCCACATAAGGCCATGCAAGAAACTGAACCAATATGCCCAGACAGCACCGCCAATGATTTGTATGATTGAAACCCACATAATGTTTTGCATGGAAATTCATATTTGGCGTCATCTTGAAGCACAAAACGATGAGATGCGGGTGGGCTGTCATCAGCTTCACTGCTTGTGCTGCTAATGCTGCTACTGCTTGCTGAAGCCGATGATAGTACAGGAGATGACAAGACAGCTTCTTGCAAAGGAGGAGCTATTGTAATAAGAACCATTCCTTGAATTCTATGCGCTTCTCTAAAAAAGAGAGAGAGAGAGAGAGAGGGTGTTGATATGAAAAGAGAAAGATTGAAACAGAGGAGCCGGGTCTAAAGAAAGGCATGGATTTCTTGTTAGAGAGAGAGATTCTGAATTAATGAAATACAGGTTGAGGTGTAACGGTTATTTTGATATATATAAGTTTGCTCATGAAAATTAGTTTGACTTTTGAGAAAAGAATCCACCGAGAGCTATTTTGTTTATGATTTAATTGGAGGATTGAAAGGTTGGGCCTTTTCTCTACGTTGTTGAAACATGAAAGCATGGAGTGGAGGGCTTTAAAATAATACTAAACTGGAACTGGTCGGCAACTATATGTTACCTTTTGAGAATATAACAAAACAAAAGGTTTAGATACATAGGCCAATATTAAATCTTTTAAGATTCTCCATGCAAGATTTTGTTTCATGGTTAAGAAAAGTTATAATAGGAGGCAAGAAATCATACATACAATCAAATAGAAAAAAAAGGGAATTTTTCAACAGAAAAATGTGCATTTTATCAAACATTTTAAAATATTTTAAGGTCCACGTCTCTCTGGGAAGGACGCTTAACTGAATTTGGCTTCAATCTTACCGGGCAAGGGAAAAAAAAAAGAGAGAAAATCAAAAAACAAAAATTATACATGTTCCCCTGTGAGTACAAATGTCTGCCGGTAGATTCAACCCAATTTTGTCTTCGAAGACAAAGTTGGCACCAGCAGGTTGGTGAAATACCAAGTAAAAGATAGTAGTAATAAAATTCAATTAAAATAATGTATTAAATTTCCAGATGAAAACTCATTTGATTCTCAAATTTGTTAGTAATGAAATGAAGATTACTTACAAGCGACTTGTAGCTTGCATGTAGTGAACTGCAAGTCTCAACACAGATGCCTACAACCTATTTTTCTATTTTCAAGTTAAACACAGATGTCTAAAATCTGTATTTTTTTTTCAGGTTACTATTTAAAAAAAAGAAGAGTAGATAAAGGTTTCAAAATTTAAATCAGTATTTCTTTGGTGTTCTTCACCAGAATATATTTTAGTTGTTGGGTTTTGGCGTGATGATTTAGTATTATTATTCAACTAGCGAGGCATGCGAGAGACAGTGGCTTGGTCTGAGAATCTCGAGCAGTAGAGCCCATTTTGACAAAATTGGAAAGAAGCATGGAATTAGGCACTTTTTTTAAAAAAATTTTAAGACTAGAAAGAAACTCCATATTGTTTATCCTAAGATTCACCGGCCAAGATATAAGAAATAGGTTCAGTTTGATAATACAAACAACGTTCGAACTATTGCCCTGATTGAAAACTATATGAGTTTTGACTGAAGAACAGTGGTTGATGTTGTGGCTTTGATTTATATAGATTATATACTCAGATACAATCTATATCACTTACTTATAGAATTATTAAGGATGGATTCATGAATCAAACAGTTTTGATTAGGATTTGGATAAATTAAAGTCCTTATCATAATTGATCAAACTGGTAATTAGACCCTCACCAGAATTTCCATGTTCATAAAATGGTTGTCTGATATTTTACTTTGCTTGGGTCTGAGTTAAAATTTAAAAGGTTAATGTGGAATTTGACCTTTAAATTCATTACTCTTTACGATTTAGTATTTATAAGAAAATTCATATTTGAACTTTTAAGTTTTATTTTCATTTTGTCATGTCATTTACTCTAGATATATCAACTCGATTAATAATATACTGACTTGACAAGAAATCTAACAAATAAAATTTTGATATGTGACATTTTCATTGATCATTATTGGTCACCTAATTATTTTACTTAACACCATTAATCAAATAGTGCAGAATACTTAACAAAAGTAAAGTTAAAATACCAAATTTTGAATTTTTTTATAGGGTAAATTATATAATTTGTCACTAAATTATTGCAGTTTTTTTAAAATGGTTACTAAAGTACTAAAGTTTTTAATTTAGTAACTAACGTGTGAATAAGTGTTTTTTGTCACTGTACCGTTAAACAATAACATTTATCTGACGTGACTTAACTAATCAGAAATGCTTTGCTGACATGGCTAATTTTTTTTCACGTTGCATACAAAATTACAACATTTTTTTTATTTGTTTCCCTTTTTCCTCGTTTTTTTTCCTTAATATTTTATGTTCATTCCCTCTCATTTTTGCTTTTTCTTTTTTATTTTCTTTTCCTCTGGTTAAGAATGGAAAACCCTAATATGAGTATTTCCTTTTGTCATTGTGGAATACCAGCTAAGTTGAAAACCTTATGGTCAAATGACAATCCTGAAAGAAGGTTTTTGGGTTGTAAGAATTATTTACATTTATGTGGTGTCGTTTCTTCGATTGGCATGATCCATCGGTTGGTGATCATGCAAGAGTTGTGCTTATTGGGCTTTTAAGAAAAATGAGAACCACTGAAAGCCAACGAAGGAAGGAATGTGTATTGTGGATTTTGTTGTTTGCCTGTTGTTTAATTTTCATTTTGATTAAGCTTTGATATAATGGTTTAACGTTGTTTACTCTTTAATGTTATGTATAATTGGTTTTACGAAAATGTTTTAGGTGCATTAGGTATAATGGCATTAAAGGAGTACGGGTTTGTTGTGTATTTTATATCAGGTGTTAGTGAATGATGGTAGCCATAGGATGGGTTTTAGAACATTTTTGTATCAAATGATCATTTTTGTATCAAGTGAAAGCTATAGTATGTAATGGATTAGATTATATAATAAACTCATATTATTTGACTGTTTCAGTATGCTATTGCAGTAAATGAACTCAGTGCTATTGCAGTTGATCTCTATTGCTTTACCTTAAACCTGATTTCAATGAACTAGTAACTTTAACAAATAAGGTATTGATAATTATAACCGAGTCAAAAACATATCATGTATTGATAAATCAAAAACTAATAAATCTGAAAATAATAAACTAGTAATAGGTCCAAATACATGACTGTATTGATAATCATAAGGCATTTATACGATTTTGGTCAAGTGTAATTCTAGTAATTATGTTGAACTTGAAACAAACTCCTAACAATCAATACATTTGTATTCTTCTTATATGTATACCTTTCTTACATGTATACCCTTACCAACAAAAAATTTTGTTTTATCTATAAAAAGAACCCTTACATCTATACTCTTATAAAAAAAACTTGTTGTAAATCCAACACATAAAAAAATAAGACATTTTTGTTAAATCAATATTTTAAACAAGTCATGTCCACAAAATACATAATCCTAGTCATGTACACAAAACAAAAACTCATCTGCAAGTTGCTGTTGGTTTTTCATTTCGTGGTTTTGGCTTTGTTGGTCTTTTAGTACCTCTTTTAATGTGTTGAACATTGATTGAAAATAGCTTTTTCTTAGCAGCATGTTTAATAAAGTATTTTCACTGCACTTGTATTCCTTCTTGGCTAGTTTCAATACTTGTAGGAGTTTTAATAGGTTTAAAAACTTCACTTAATCTATAAATAGAATTCTGTTGTGATTGAAATTTTTGACTAGAGCCTTACACATCAATACAATAAATGATTTAATATTTATGATTAAGGGTTTTTTTAAGATGGGTTAGGGTTGACAAAATAAGTACTTACATTAAACATCCATTTAACAATGTTTGGAGCTAGCTGAACATGCTTTTAAGATCTTTTAGTTGTTGTGGTTTGAATGGCTGAGGTGGTTTTCCAGATCTTTTAATTATGGTTTGAGATGGCTCTCTAGATCTTTTAGATCTTCTAGATGTGGTTGAAAGTGGCTGAACACCTTAACAAATATATTAGAAGTATAAGTGTTTAGGTTAATAATCCCAAATATTTATATTATATATTATCTTTTCAGTGGCAAAATCCTTAACCTTTTGGTTAGTTGTCCCAATAGCTCTATTCACTTGTAAAATGGAAATAATAAAAATAAGTTACTATATTTTATCTATTATTATCATTAATAATTTATAATCAATAAAATAAAACACTAACAGGTAACTTTAACATATATCTTCTTGCTGGTTTGACAAATCCTTTATTTACATTCAATATGCTATTACCACCAATCTATTCTTTAAATGTCCTTGTATTATGCCCTGGTTTTTCACATTTGCTATAACTAAGTTTCCTTTATCTTTTGTTGATTTTAAATTAACTTCCATTTTTTAATCGATTTTCTTCTCCTACAGGTGGCCTTCTTAGAATAAGTGGTAGTATTGGTTCTAGGATTTCATCACTTATCCATTGATTTACACATTTAATAGGGCAAATAAAGTTGGAATATATATTAACTTATGTGGTCTTGCTGTAACATGGATCGATATAAGTTTCAAGCCTTTCTTTAGAAAAAAACATGGCTGAAATATCATGCATGCATGAAATCAAAGTAATATCCCATTTTTTTGCATGAACGGGTATGCAATTGAAGGTCCATCACATGTTGGTTTAATGGCCCATATGCTACTTGGTATCTTGGATCACTACATGTTTTGGCCAACATCTACTTCATTGTAACATAATTTGATCCAACTTTTTTTTTATTTTGGGATAAAGTAGTCTCGAATACTTTTCAATAATTACGCTTTTCAAGATAATCCTTTGCATTAATTTTATCCTAACAGTCTCCATCATTATTAGAATAGGTTTATCCAATGTATCCAAAATAAACATGTTAAAAGACTCACTTAAATTATTTAAAAACATGTCACATTTAACCTTTGTTAAGAAGTGAAACTTAGACCACTGAGCTAGATCTTTTCTCTCAAGCCATTTGTTTGAATTAATTGAAAGGTTTTTATTTCTTTCATTGCATCTTCAAACTCCTTCAAGTAGGTAGCTTTAGCAGCTTTTCACAAACAGTCCTTTAATGCTTTTTTTTTGTTTGTAAGATTTGACTTAAATTTTGTATATAAATGCCTAACACAATTTCTGTGCTCAGCATTAGGTACAATATCTATAAGTGCATATATAAGTCTTTTCCAAAACAACAAAAATATAAATTATAGTTATATACTATAACCTTAATTTCATATTAAAAGAAACTAATAAAAAATTAAAGGGATAAAATTCAAACCTTTTGTTTATTTGATATAAAAGTCCAGTGATAAGAATTTACAATTTTAAAGTCATTTTTGAGCAAAAATAAGGAACCAATATCAAGAGTCATAGTTTTCACTTTCAATAGTTGCATAAGCTAATGGATAGATGCAATCATTTGCATCAATCCCAACAGCTATCAACAAATATCTATCATAACACCCTTTTTAGGAAATAACCATCAAGATTGATAATATACCTACAACTAGCTTTGAACCCATCTTTGCATGTTTGTAAACAAACATACATCCTCTTCAATAATCTGCAATCTAGGAAACTGATTATAATGGTTCCTTTATTGCTTTGCTTGAGCTCTTTCAAATACCCATAAATCTTAGCATATTGTTCCTTGTGATTTTCATACACAATTTCAAGTGCTCTTTGGTTAGCCTTAAAACATTTTGTTAATGACACATTAATGACAAAGTCTGTCATCACATTTTATTGAAGAGAACTCAAGAAGTATTTTGGATCAGTAATAAGCTTGTCAACATAATGCTGACCCATCCACTTAGAAGTCATGTTTCAAATTTTCATATCCTTAAAATATGTATGTTCAAAAACATAAGTCTTGATCTACAAAGTATGATCTAGTTGGTTTTTGGTATTGAATTTTACCCCTTACAGTTTTCATAGACAACATTTATTGCAGACCACCTTAACCTTCTGCTTATCATTCTTTTCAAACTCGATATCACACTTATTCTTCTTCTTATACTGTAAACAACATATCTTTTTTTAACTTAGGATTTTTCATATCTATTTCACTATTGAATTCTGACCATCTATTGATAACCTTTGAATTAGATTCATGTGCATTGTGTAAAGAATTTGATTTCTCATATTCTTTTTCATTTGTACCTACTCTAACATGTAAACTATCATCCACTCCAACCTTATCTTCATCACCTAAACCTATATCTCTCTCAATTCCTAAATCTACATTGATCTTAAAATCATGATCATCATCATCTTCCATATTATATTTATTCTTATTAAAATTGAAATTAGAACTGTCATTATCATTTTTATATTTCTTAACATTACATCTTACTTTTATTTCTACTTTAGTTTCAATGTCTAAAGCAACATTCACATGTACTTTTTCAACAAAACTACCATCTACATTATGTTCATCAATGATAAACTCATCTTTTAAGTACACATAGATGTAATGATTTTTAGGCATTCTTGCAACCATATTGACAAAATCAACTTTTATTCTAAGAGGTCTAACAGAATCAGTATTAAGTGCCTTCACAGACATTTGCTAATAACATCTTATATTGCTCGTATAGCCTAATACATCAATAATATCATTCATTTCAATCATAAAACATAGCATCTACATGGCATACATTAAAGTAATCAACATTTTTTCTAATATAAATCATATTAGGAGTATATAAAAATTAACCACTATGATGAATAACAGTTAAGAAATAGTCTGGATTAGGCTCTGAAAAATTATCAAATTTCAAAATTTTAGTTAAAGGATTATTTTGATTTAGACATAAATCCTAATAGCTTAAACACTTTAATCTTCAATAAAGTATACCATAAAATTATATATATAATACAATAATAGCCTTCACATGTTTTAAAAAACATTTAAACCTAAACATGACTCCACATGCCTTCCCAATACATGATAAGCAGACAATAACCACATAGCACACTTAGCACAACATAATGCACAATAACAAATGACTTGATAGAAAAAAGTGTACACAACAATAACAACAAACAAAACAAAATCGATTCAATCTTGTATAGGCAGAAACAATTATAAGAAAAAGATGTCCATAACAACCATAATTAATATTCAAAACAAAACCATTTCATTCATGTATAGGTAAAAATAAAACTAGTGGATTCATGTATGGCAGAAAAAAAAAAACAAATTCTATTCATACCAAAAGAAAACATATGATTTTTTGCCTTATGACGTTTTTTTCTGTCAATTATTTGCCTAAACCTAAAATAAACCTTAACACACCAACTGAAATCATAAACCCTTAAATAAAATAACAAAATAACTTAAATCCTAAATCATGACAATGTAACCTTCAATCGTCGCCTTAAATCGTAAAATCTTAAATTTTTAAAATTTTTTCTAAATCACCAATCTTTGCCCTAAATCACAAAATCTTCAATTTTCTTTATAAATTGCAATGTAACCAAACTTAATTTCTATTGTCACTTTTAGAGAAAACTCACTTTCTAAAACCCTAAACCTATATTTTTTTCTCTTAAGCAAAATTCTTAAATTTAACGTTTATTATTTTCTAACTTGACCAGGCCACTTGATCTTTTAATTGCGTATAAACAAACCATTTCTAATAAGTTAAACCATATTAGATAAATATTATGATTTTAATGATACAAATGACCACAAAAAATTTATTCAAATGTTAATGATGAAATTAAAAATTTTAATATTTTAGTAAACATTTTTAAAAAAAATTGTAATAGTTCAATGACTAATTATGTATTTTATTCTTTTTTATATAAGTACCAAATTGATAAAATAAAATCTGAACTAATTTACACATTAATCCAAACTTAAAGGTATGTTTTGTTCGATCCACCTTGGAGAAAGACTACAAGCTCTTAGAGAAATAAAAAAGTTAGACCTTCGTCGCATAACATTTTCCATATATTCTTACATAACTAGTGTTACACATAAAGTAGAAACAAAAGGTGAAACTGAACCCAATCCGTAGACAACCACAAAAGCTGCAAACACCTATGTACAACGATTTTGACTTGGAAGTTGGAGCTAAGAAACTAATACAACTACTGCAACCAGTGACAGAGTGAGCTGCTGGCTGTAATAAGTAAGAACCAAATCCAAAGCCAACAACTCCAATCGAAATACATAATAATCTCAACGGGGTTGCTGGATTCGTCGTACTCGTGGCCTGGGACTCACGCACTTACTTGCCTTCTCAAAACACCTGGACTTCGGACTTTTCTCCACTGGAGATTTTGGCATGCTCAAACTCCTTAACACGGCCTTCGCATCCTTATTATTTCCAAAACCTACCAAAATAAATAATCACAAACAAATTCATAACTATTTATTAAGTTTCAATCGTTAAAGGGTAACATTTAACAGGAATCAAATCAAATCAAATTAAATTAAATTTCATGCTTCACAATACCGTTTCGCTGGTTCTTTTCTTCTGGTCTTTCTTTGCTTTCGGATTCGAGGAACTCCTGGAACTGAGTATCGAGATCAAGGAACTCATCATCGAAGCTGAGGTCAAAATAATCCGGTAACAAATTGGCTGCATCTCCCTCGTCGTCATCCGCTGCGAAGCTCTCCTCCTGATGCTCGCTTAGCCAGTAATCACGGAACCACGTGGATGTCTTGACAAGCTCCCACCATTCAGGAGAGAAATCCTCTACTTGACGAAACGCCGCCGGGATGAACATCGGGGCGTCCGGATTCAACGTCGACGACCTTGCTCCAGCCACAGCCGCCATCCAAATTTCTCGATCAAACCGAATACTAAAATCAACCAAAATGGGAAAAGATCAAAAAACGATCTAAATAAATATGCACTGTCGGATCTAAAAGAGAGAGCTTTACCTTAGCCGTTGATTTTCCAGACTAAGTTCAGTGACGATTTAAAAGCTCGAAAATGGAGAGACAAAGGCCGCATAAAAAGAGCATAAAGTTGCTCGATTCGAAGTCCGAGGCTAAGGCTTGGGAAGACCTTCGGGCAGCAGCCAGTAAATCGGTGAATTGATGGGGACACGTGTATGTACAATACATGGTCCTGACAGTGGAATTATATGGTTGGGTTATGGATAAACGCTTCAGAGACGAGGGTTGATGATCCGTTGATCTGGCAAAGACTAGAAAGATATTTTCTTTTATCTAGAAAGATATTTTCTTTCTAGAAAGTGCTGGGAGGGAGAGCTTTCGTCTGGTGCGGGGAACAGCATGGAAACTTTATTAAAAATGATGAATGAAATTGTGCCACCTGCCCCACAAATGACTGGGGGCTCGCCTGGGCTCTGAAGAGTGAAGGTATCATTTGGATGAATTGGGCCGAATCAGATCGGATCAAGATAGGTCTTAGCCATATTATTTGGTTTAACTTCTAAATCAATTTTTTAGATACATGAATTAGGAAGTCTCAGAATTTGAAAACAATTCGAATCGAAGCCCAGAAAAAGCTGGCGCGATTTTATGCTCACTTTCAATTCTCAACACTCCTCTATCTCCGCAATCTCCAATTCGAAAAAACCCTAAAAAAAATCTCACATTTCTCAACCAAAACCGCTAGGCTTGGCAATTGAGCAAAACCCAGAAAGGGATGGAGAAAAATAGGCAAGTAGTGTGTCCAGAGAATGAGGAATTAGCAAACTACTTGCTGCAAAAGAGGCAAGAGCTAGCAGATAAACCCAAAGGGATAAAAGAAAACACTGACATGACTCTTTCAAAGGCGTACAACAACATTTGCAAGGCTCAGCATCCCATCAAGACACTCAAAGATCTCAATGACGTAAAGTATGCTCTTTTCTTCTTCTTCTCATCATTTGCGTTTTTAAAGAAAGTAAAATTGGTCTCTTTGGGTTGTTTCTTTTGCCTGGCATTATTTGTATGATTCCAGGACCTGTTTGCTCTCTCATTTGTCCTTTTCTTTTTTCTTGGAATAATCTGGTTTATATTTGTGTATAGAGGTATTGGGAAATGGATTCTGGTGCTTATGCGTGGCTATTTCGACAGTGGTTCTGAACTTTCAGAACCAGAAGACATAACTAGAAAGGGTACATGTAATTCTGGTGTTTTTTTTTTTTATGTAAATTCTTTTATGTATTGGTCCACTTGAATTGTTCAATTTTCTTCCTTTTTAATTCTTCTTTAATGCTTGTTTAGGTAAAAAAAGTAAAGGAAACAGACGTTATTTGCCTCAAAAGAATTCTGTGGCATATGCATTGTTGATTACTCTATACAGGTATTTATATACCTCTTTATGTAAATTGGTTCTGTCATATTTTTTTTCTATATAGATTTGAAGTTTCAGATGAATGTGCCTTGTCATTAGGGAGACTGCAGATGGGAATGAATTTATGCATAAGCAGGATCTTATTGATGCAGCTGAAGCAAGTGGGCTTTCTCGGGCGCCAATTGTGTATGTTGATTCTTCATATTTAATTGCGAATTTGTTTCTCAAGACTTTTAGTGATTTTCGAGTTTGATTTGTGGTTTATAAACTGGAATTATACATTCTTAGGCCAGAGAAGGGAAAAGGGAAACCTAGCCAAGTTGGAAGTTCTCTAAGGGACTGGTATAGTGGATGGAGCTGCATGTCAACCCTGATAAAAAAGGGATTTGTTGTGAAATCGAGTTGCCCAGCAAAGTATGGATTTTATTTGGTTTCTTTTATTCCTTTTGAATAATGCATGAGCCTTTTACTTAAACATATTCTTAACTTTATTTGGTTTTCTGCACGTGATTGCTTAGTGTTTAGTGTTTTCATTGGTGTTTTATGTATGAAATGCAATTCTGTTTTGCAGATACATGCTGACACCAGAAGGCAAGGAAGCAGCTCGTGAATGTCTCATGAAATCTAAAATGGAAGATCCCTTAGAAATTTTGGTTAATGTGGAAAGGCTTTCTCAACCAGACACACAGAATGCATCTGTTCAGGACTTTTGTCATTCTGATTTGGGTAGAGAAGAGACAAATGCTAAAGCTGCTTTTCGGCAGAAAAAATCCATTGATGTTCCGCATGATTCTCTTGAAAGGGTATCTGTCAACTGAGATACTTCTGATTGAAATTTCAGTTGATTTACGAAGATAATTATAGTTTCAGATTCAAGTGTCAGTCTCTTAGACCACAAGACATTGTTACCAATCTGTAGAATTTACAGCTTATGGAAATTTATGTTCACTCCTTGTGCTCCTGAACATTCTAGTGTTGACTTCTTTTATTCTGTTCTCTTGTTCTCTTAGAGGGTTTTTCTTTCTGGTCTTTTGATTTCCTTTCTGTAGTGCACTCGCATGGGGTACTCTAAGGAACAAGTTCTTCGTGCTTTTGCTGAAGTCTCTGAAACTTCCAAGAACAAGGAGATATCTTCACTTTGGCCAGCAGTCCTGTGTCGTCTTCGAGAAGATCAAGTTTATGGTTAGTTATTGCCTGTTTGAATATTACTTAACAAATAACATAGAGATTATCAATTTAATCATGGAAAATTATGGGACATGATATGATTCGTTTTCTATAAATGCTCAGGGCAAGAAGCTCGTGTTGGAATGCAGAGTACTCAGAGGGATTTAAGTAACAATGGTGGAGATATGCCAAATTTGTTTTCCTTGAGAGCTTGTTTTTCCTCTGTATGTTTGCTTTTGGTCAATGGCAATTCAATTATCTTACATCTGTGTCAATTCAATTATCTTGCAGCTGTGTCTCAGATATGTTATGATGAGATCTCATGCACTGGGAATTTTACCTGGAAAAAGAAAAGAAAAATTGGCAGAGGAAAAAGAAAAAATATTTTGGTTAGACATGTGGCATGTGATAAGTAGTTCTGCCTTATGATGTGCCAGAGCCTAAGGATGATAGTTTCCTGTAAACGGATATAAGAAATGATCCAGTCAAATTCAAACAGTTCAGACTTTGTTAACATGCATGTATTTTTTGAGTTTTCTATACTTAGCAAGTAATATTAAAGGGAATTGATATGCTACTAATCGCAAATGATTTCTTGATCTCAAAATTTCTTAATGTTGAATATAGGTTGTTCATTTATAGTTCTGGTTACCTTTTGCCCTTTCTTTGTGAGTTCTCTTTATAACTTGCTTGAAAAGCTGCTCATCATCCTGGTTGATGGTTTAAAATTATCTGTGCAGAAGCCAAGTTCGGATGGTCTGGAAGCGAATATGAATGTTTTAAGTATTCCACCTCTGAGCTTTGGGGAGAGATTTCCGGATGTATATGAAGTAATCTTAATATTAGATGATCGAGAGCAATTTATCAGTCGAGGGTTAGTAACTTCATATCATTGCCATTTTATTGGATGTGCTCTTTCAAGTTTCAACTTATGGGGAAGTGAGCAATGTTAATATGGCTTGCGGTTTACAGTGCACGCTCCAAGAAAATGTTAGAGAAGATTTGCTCTGAATTCAAAATCAAAATAAATGTGAGCTTTTAGTTCCTGTTTATATCCTTTACTTGCATCTTAATTTTGTAATAAATTAAGAGGCTGGCTTAATCTTCTTTCTATGTTGATGGCTGGCAGTTATTTGCAAGCTATTCTCATCACGTGTTAAGAGCATTTTCAACATTTTGATTGGCTTAAACTCCACCGTCTCTATTAGCAGCCAATTTTTTAACTTAAAAATTAGTGGTTCATGGCAAACTTTTATCTTATCTTCATATTTTTTATTACTAAAGAGTTTGTCAATGTTAATCTTTGATTCTTTGGCTGCAGCAAAATGGTATAAAGAGTAATTAACTGAATGTTGAGTGGTACCTCCTTGAGGCAGTAATTATCCAGGAATTGTACCAGCCTTAGTGTCTTAAGATAAAGTTTCACATGAAAGAAGAAGATGAGTCGCTGTGTGAGTCAAATTAGTCCCAAAGCTGAAAGTATTGGAAAAGGCTTTTAAATCTAGCCTTTTTTTTTTTTTTTTGAATTTCCAATTTGGCTTTTGTGCCTTTTAGTAAGTTATTGAGGATTGCTGTCAGACTCAGGCATGAGTGTTAAGACATGGGTATCTGTTCAGCACAGGGATCCTGGTAAATATAACAACTAGATTTTTAAATATATATTAGTTCTGGATTGATGTTTGTATGTCATTTTTGCTCTGGTTAGTTATGATGCCTACATCTGAACAAGCCTGAGTTTCTACTAGAATTTGCAGTAAACTGTTCTTGCAGTTGACAGATGAATTCTTGTTTCTTTACCGGTATTACATGATATATTAAATACAGTTATTTACAAAGTGACTTTTCTCCAGGTTAGACGGTTACCTATTGGAGATGGAATCTGGATAGCTCGCCATAAACATTTTTCCAGTGAATATGTTCTAGACTTTATTGTTGAGAGGAAGAAAGTTGATGATTTACGCTCTTCGATACGGGATAATCGCTACAGGGATCAGAAGCTAAGGCTTCTGGTATTGATTCCTAAATTTAATAATTCATGATTTTGGTCTCATAATTAATGGTGATGTTTATTGCTTGAATTGTACCAACTACAAATGTTCCTGTTGTATTGTATTGTTAAAATGCCTATAACCTGACCATTTGAAGTTACAATAATCCTAAAGGAGTCTGCATGTTTTAGTTGACCTTCCTTGATTGCAAGTTTGTTGTTTACAGTCATAAGATGCACTAGCATTACCAATATCAAACAATATTCATAAACCTAAATTTACTAGAAACCTTTAGCCCTTAGAGATCCTTGTTTCTCTTTTTCCTTATTCTCTTCCCGAGTAGGTGATAAGGTTTCTGATGGATTGTTAACACAAGCCGTTGATGTTATATTGGTTTGTTTTGGTTGGGATTTATCTTCGGTTTCTTATGGCAGCTCTTGTGTAGTATGTTTCTTTAAATTGCACAAAGTTCTGGTCATATTGTTCTTCTAGCAACTTGATGCATGTTGAAGACACGGTCTTCTCATCCAAATATTCAAAGTTTTAAATTGTTTAAGGGGTTGCTAGTAACTTTTATGGACTGAATTGAAGAAATAAGAGATGTGGATAAAAATAAGGAAGTGAAATTGATTACTGATTCCTCTAATTTTCTTTTTACCATTGGTGTTTGTACTTATAAAATTCACAACAAACATACATAACTGCAAGTACATTTACATGATCCGGTTTCACCTTTTCTTGTCTAGACTAGCACTGTGCTTTGCGTTTCCATTTTCAAATATAAATTTAATTGGAGTTGGTGCAAGTTTTTGTTTATGCTTACTTTTCAACTTAATTTTGCCATCTTGACATTTTTTCCTTTGCATTTTGCAAGAGATCTGGACTTAAGAAGCTGATATATCTTGTGGAAGGTGACCCGAATTCTTCAGAAGCTTCTGAAAGCATCAAAACAGCGTAAGATTTTTTCTAGATATACTTTTAGGGATCACTTTACTTTCTACTGGTTATCTGTCTTTTTACTTCCCAAAGAAACTGTTTCTATCATTTGTTGTTGGATATTAACACTTTTATCCTTGCAGTCTTTTTTTTATCATTATTATTAATTGTTATCTTTAGAGTTGTTACTCAATCCTAAATCTAAAATTGAACAATGAAACTGATTTTCTAGAACAGTGAAGGGAAATCAACTTTCTCTCTCCCCTTCCCCAGTTCCTATGTGCTAGTGATTGTGAAGGCTTTTTTCATTTGTGGAATTGAGGGATTCAAACCCCGTTCTTTGATCAGGGAGATCATGCACCAACCACAAGCCAAATGCTTTTATTTCTTGTCTTACTCTTTTCTTACTTTATGCAGGTGCTTCACTACAGAGATTCTGGAGGGGTTTGATGTTCATAGAACAAGTGGTTTACTTGATACGCTGAGGAAGTATGCTTATCTGACTCAAGCTATAACTCAATATTATAAACTGCATCTGCTTGAGGATCAGTCTAGATGCACTGGGGTCTGTCCTCCTTTTAATGAATTTGTCGAAAGGTGCCAAGAGCTGGATAAAATGACAGTCAATGATGTATTTTCCATTCAACTTATGCAGGTATATCTGTTCTTTCATTAAGGAAAGGTTATGGTTTAGTAGTAATGTGGTAAGATCATTTATTTGAACTCATTTAGAGTGGTTAATCAGTCCTAACATATGCCTCTATGCCTATATAATGAGCGCATTTCACCTACAATTCTTTTCATAACAATCCTACAATTGTCCAATCACAATAAAGAATTATGTAGGGGTCTACCACTTAAAGTGTGGGTTCTATTTAAAATTTTGATGGATCCCACACAATTCTGAATTGTGATTGGTTAATTGTAGTGCAATGATTGTAAGTGATATGCTTCTTTATATAATGTGCAGGAACTAGCATCATCTTCTCTAATATTGTTATTTAATTAGCAGTAGGTTTTGATAATCTGCTTTTGGATGTTGTCTTATCCATTAAGATTCTATTTTGTCTCTGTTAGGGGTATCAACATTAAAGACATTGTTTTATTGGTCAGTTGTGGACATGTGGGATTTATATGCTAATCATGAACCTGGTTCATATGTGGGCATAAATAATTATGTTGATGTATAACTTAAATACCGTTTTTAAGTATAACAGATTAACGGTTTTTTTAAGTGATTGACCTTGTTGGTAACATTTTGAATCATTTAATCTCAGGTACCGCAGGTGACTGAGGAGGTTGCCATAGCTGTTGTGGATTTGTACCCAACACTAGCATCTCTTGCCTGTGCTTACTCTTTCCTAGTGAGTTACTTTTTTCTATGTTGGAGCTAGGAGCTTTATATGATAAAATTAATAGTTCTGGCTAGGATTTTGTGCTTCTGAGGTTAAAAAGTGGCATCACAAGTTCACAACATAGTCATCGATCTGCATAAGAGTGCCTATAGTTAGTGGTTTAGAAAGGAGAATTAATAGAAGGGGCTTGGTGCTGGTGGGTCATAAATATTAATCAATCATTTACTGTTGTAAAAGGTATAAAATTCAAAGACGTAACAAGGTGGACTAGTTGCTGAACATATTATGCTCATGACATGTGTGTGTGTGTATATATATATATATATATATATATATATAAACTTTTTATCCAAATTGAGTTGTTGCAAGATGATAATCTTGACTCCCCAGTCACCAGAAATTGAATTGTCCGGCTCTTAATTTGCATTGAAATCACTGCCCAATTTCTATGCAAATTGTATTAAGAAGAACAAAGGTTTTGTGCATGGAAGTCCACAATGCCATGGCCTATGCTGGTATTGTCAAGAACTTTGTTTTAGCCTCTAAAGTTATTTTGTCAAGGTCATCTTAATTTATTTTATGTTTATCTATAAGTTTTACTGACTTTGGTCAATTATTGGTGTTTGGAAAGGAGGGTGATGTATGCGCGCAAGAGGATATGCTAAGGAAGCAGAGTAACAACATGGTGAGCTCAGTTGCTAGTAAGAACATTTTTCGGTTTGTTTGGGGTGATTGACCAAGGCAGATCTTTTGTAAATTGTAATCTTCTAAATAAGAGTTGTTCCGTTGAAGCTTTCTGTGAATGATTGTTTATTTGAAGTTCAATATTGTAAATAGCTTGTATGTGTGTGCACTTTGAGGCTATACATAGCTCTATATGATAGTTGCACTTTCAAGTTTTCTTTTTCTACTATGGCATTCAAATACTCAAAAAAAAAAAATTGTTTTTTTAATAGATTTCTCCAATTTTCTTTAATTTAAGAGTCTAATTCCATAATCCGGCTAGTTCATATTATCTGATTTCAAAACATTTTGCTTTTTGGTGATAGGGAGCTGTCCATGACCGTTCTGGTTTTTGAATTCACAAACTGCAATAGGTGAAGAAATCCATGAATTAGCAAAAAACTGTCTAATAATCTTTCTTTATGTTTATTAGAAAATACTACAAACCTCTACCGTTAGCTCATCCTTTGTTGCATGTGCTCTAGCACAACCAAATTCACAAATCATTGTCAAGCTTCAATCAGTTGCCTGTTCATGAATATTGAGCAGATGATTTTCTCTGGATAACACTAATTGTGAATAAAATTCTATAGACTCTTGGTTCACAAGGAGCGGGAATTTGTCCAGACCGAAGCCAGCCATTCCAACAATAGCTTGCACAGGTTCTTTGTAGTTAATATTGCCATACGTGTCTATACCCCATCTTCATCTTTCGTTGGCATTGCCAGGCACTGAGAGTTGTAAATGGAAGATGTCCTCCCATAATTATGAACATGACCGAAAAGAACCAGGTCGACCTACCTCATGGTTTCAAACCATCAGTTACAGCATACAATACCAAATTCACAAATTAATGAAGCTAGAAGACGCTTTTATCTTGTTATCCAGCAGGACTGGTTCTACGACATTACGGAAATTAACTTCAGTACTGCCTAGGCCAATATAGCCGCTATACATGGGCCTATGCCTGCGTGCAAATGTTGCAGTTGATAAGTCCTAAAAATCAGTGAATTCTGTGACCACTCCACAGACCAAGGCATTTCTTGGAAATATTTATATCCTTTAACTTGACCTGTAAAAATTAACCAAGGTGCTTTTGATCGATCAACTGAGGCCATGACCTTCTCCATCCCTTTGTACTTTGAAAAATTTGAAACCATGTCAATTACATACATCAGTGTAATATCAAAACTTAATACTAAGGAAAAGGTAGGCTAAATTTTGCCTGTTCAGAATTTTCTGTCCAGTCGTGTTCTGTTGAAATGACTGTGAAGTGAACACTGCCTTGTTCTATGGTATACCATGGCTTATCCCTCGCTGCAGTTGGCATAGGGAAATAGGTCTCACAAGGAACTCCACATTCTCCGCCAGAGTCAGGAGTCGGTCAACAAGATCCTGAACCTGCATAATCCATGAAAGGTGGGAGGTAAACTGTTTTGATGCATACTTGCAGATCTTTCCATTTATCTTCATCATCAATACATAACTAATTTATGAATAAAAGAAATAAAATCTCGTTTAATTCTTTTTCTTATAAATTGTAGCAAACATCTCAGAGTGTGAAAATGTTCTGATGATGATTTTAATTAATTACTGGATAACTTGATCATTTGTGATCAATCATAATTAGTAAATATTGATTAGAGTGTAGTCATCTGCAATTTTGAGCATACAATCTTTTATATACTGCTAGTAGGCAAGAAATTTACCTCTCATGGTTTCCAATTGCTGTCACGTAAGAAACCTTAGAAGCCAAAGGGCTCATAAGGTGAAGGGAGAACTCCCATTCAACCAGGAAGCCAGTTGCATAGCTTATGTCCCCAATGTGAAAAATGGAGTCTATGTTGCCATTTTTCAATTCTTCAACCATTCCTTTTACCGCTGAGAGAGATCCTGGCCATATGTGTCACAATCGTGCAAGCCTCATTGGTGCATAAATAGTGACACCATATATTTGTACCATTAAAATTTATGGGATTGCACCATTGGATTTTGTTTAGAGGACTAACTATTACAATTATGTGAAATTCAAATGACATATTGGAAATAATTCAGGATTAAGCAAGCCAGTTTTCCAGAAATGATGGTCAAGTTTAGAAAAAGTTAGATGTGGCCTATATATCCAGGTCAAATGTTCTGTGACAGTGATCACATTGAACTGTGTCTCTACCTGAATGTAGTGCTCAGCAGAAGCATCAAAAGGAGCCTTTACCATATCACCAAAAACAAGAAATTTGGGTTCATCTGATCCTCCAGCTGGTGGAGTCCGGAATTCAATTTGATCACTCCATCCAATCGCATCACAGCATCACAGAATACAAGGATAGTTTGTTTCTCAGATGAAACCCCCAAATATCTCTCCAAATTAGCAAAGGAATACATATGTCCTTGATGAATATGGGAGCAAAATAGCAGCCTACAACCATTATCAGCTTGTATCAAGAACAAAGTTTGAGTGGAATTATCCAGTTATCATAAGATCATGATCCTGTTATACCTTCCATCTTTGTAGTAGGAGGTGCTTGAAGGCTGAAGTCCTGTCATCATTGCCATATGAATGTAACCAGGGTCATGCCGACCGAAATCCTTGGCAGGACTTGGTACAACAATAGAACCTATCCATTTTACAATCAACATATAAATGTAAGTGAAAAAAAAATGTTTATGAAATTAATTGTCACATACGGTTTAGAATTAATTTAAGCCAACATGATATCCATGAAGAGTACAAATTCGGAACTCTCTGCACATATCCTCCCGCGAAAAGGTTGTAACTTCTGATGTCTGTGATTTTCCATTCCCATATTTCACTTGTTGAGGCTTCTTGTCCCCACTTATCCATGTTAATCTCATCTGCAGCATTACAACAAAACTCCCAGCTGATTTCTGATAAGCAGAATCATCAACTTCTCCATGAACAAGCTCATGTCTCGTGGTAAAATCTGCCTTATCTTCATTTACTAGGCTCAGTCAGGTGACACTCAAGGGAAGTTTAACACACTCGGTAAAAACAAATTATACTTCATCAAATCAAGTTCCCTGGATTGGAAATTTAATGTCTTAGTATCACAGTCTTTAGAGAACTGATTAATATGCATGGATGCTAATTACCGATGTTCCAGTGGAATCTGTGCTTGAGAGATGCCCATACAAAGGTGCATTGGGATTTGAAAATTTCAAGGGTTTGGTGGTCCTCTTCAAAACGCAAGGCTTAAGGAACCCACCAGTGAAGAACACAAATTCGATGTCACTTCTTATGTTAATGACATGAAAAGTTACGGAGCCGCTGCAAGTTGTGACCTCGCATTGTTCATTGCTGTATTTGTTGCATGCTTTCTTCTTGCAACTGAGATAGACTGGATCACGGCTCACAAATTTTGCCTGCACAATTCCTATAATCGATTTTTAAAAATGAGAAAAAAGGGAGTTGGTCATCTTGTCATATTCCATTTTGATTTTCTGATAATATAAAATCATTTTTCATGATTAATATTTAGAAAATTTGATTGCCATTTCAAAAGATAAACAAATTAATCATGTAAGAGAAAAGGGAAAACATGTTTGAAGAGTACGAAAATCTTTGTGGTTGCTAATTGCTGAATAAATTATTATATGCAGATGGCTACATTTTCTTAATTCGTAATTACATAAAATTAACATCCTACACGTTATAAGTGTCGGGTCAGGTGAGCTGCCATTTTAGTTGGCTGTTTTAGTATCTCATGCACAGAACAAAAAAAAAAAAAACAAAAACGAAAAATTGGGTATCTGTCAGTTATTATGACACATGAATTGGCGTCTCATATTTAAATAGTAAGTGATAATATTCTTAAATTTAGATAAATATTAATGAAAAAATAGTACATGCATTTTTTATTTGGATAATTAAAATTAATAAAAAAAATTTTAACGATTATTATTTGAATAAATAGTGAAAAAAATTCATTATAATTTTTTTTCAATTATAACATTTTTTAAAAAATAAAATAACATATAATATATAAATATATCTTTATACTACTTAATTTGCATAAACAAAATTTTTTGAATAAAATTGAATATGTTTAATACGATAAGATATATTAACTAATTATTGATTTATTCTTAATTTTATATTTAATTTAATTTTTTAATTTATTTTGATAATAATTTGACTTGTTTTGTTGTTAAAACTTTAAAAATCATAAAATATTTATAAACTGTGATATTATATAAAATATTTATAAAAGAAATTAAATCTAAATATAAATATAATAATTAAATTTAATGTCATAATAAAAATATAAATATAATAATTTTTTCATAAAAATAAATTTTTAAAACTTTTTTTTCCTTAACTTTCCTCTCAAATTGAAATATTAAAAAAAGTAAGGATTACAATGTTTCTAGTGCTTTTCTTTCCTTTCCTTTAAATATAGTCTAGGTCTCGTCAAGCAGTTAGCAAACTATCATTTTTATGTGAAGGCTTGATTTTTGTTGCATTTCTTGATGACACATCGATTTATACGATATGATAATAGGAAGTTGGCCGTCTCTGTTTGGCTTGTTTTTACACCAATACAAGACAGGTGGAAATTTGTAAATCATGGAGAAAAAATTAATATTAAGGACTTTTTGTTAGCTGGTTATATACATAGACTTGAACCCTGGACATCAATGTTGGGTCGTTTGAAGACATCTCAGATAAAATTAGAAATTCTTGAGAATGGTCAAGGGTTGATGATTGTAATTTTAATTATTTCTATTGGTTTTGTTCGCACTTCTTACAAAAGGGTCAATCAACAAGAAGGGTACGAGTTTAAACAAGCAAAATTAAAGGTAAATGGGGTAATTAGTTTGGTGAGTGGTAATGTAATAATTAATTTAATAATTATATGACTCAGAGTGGCTTCAGCCATGAGCTAGAGGGGCACACCACTAGAGCAGTTAATTTTTTTGATATTCTTTGCCACCCACGGAATTGAAAAATGGAAAGATTTTCGATATACACAATCAACAAAGGTCAGATAGGTGACTCACAATATTTATCAGGCATGTTAGTTCAATTGTTTTGTTTCTTTTACATTTTACACAGTCCATTTAGCTGAATATAGAGCATCACATGAAAGTAAGTGGTAGCAGGCTTTTCAACTAAGAACACCCACAATTTTTTGCTAAGTTAATTATGACATTCCACATTAATGATAACATGAACTGTCAACAAAATTTTTTTTTGGTTGAGCAATAAAACCGAAATTATGTACCTTAACTGGATAATGGCAGAGGAGAGGAGGTTTAATTACCAATGTCAACGGTTTGCACATAAAACGATTTACTCTGGATACAAGTTTCGATGCTACATACGCAACAAGGCAAAAGAACGAAGAAGCAAAGCATATTGAAAGTTGAAACGAAAAATATGATTTGACGTGAAACAAATTTTTTTGATTCACAAAATGAACATAAAAAGAAAAACTAGAAAAAATTACTTAAGAGTAGGAAGGTGAGATCATGGCAATCCAGTCTCTATTCGAAGGAAGCAAAACTCCGCTAACAGTCACAGCGACAAACACTTCATTAGAGAGGTTAGAATTTCTACTAACATTAATTTGGAGAAGAGGGTTTGGATCAAGACATTGAAATAAAGTTCGTCCATTGACCACACGAAAGTCAGATATTGCGGTGTAATTGCGATGTACGATGGTTGAGGTGGCAACCGGGGGATGCAACCGGAAAGAAGAAGATAAACAAGGAAAACTGAAGAAGAAGAAGAAGAATAAAAGGAGAAGAATGAATAATTTGAAAAGACAAGAAAAGGGTATAATTTGAAAAGACAAGAAAGGGGTTCTTCCATTGGAGCGAAACAATGAATTTGTGACCATGTACGAGGCAGGCAAAAAGGTTATATATGAGTAGTCTTGCTTTGTGTCTGGCATTTCCGGCAATCAGGATTTGGACACGGTGAGAAAGATGGAAGTTTCAAAAATTTTTTTTTGACAGAATTTAAGGTTAAACTGAAAGTGAATTCGTGCATGTTGGAATATTTAAGGGTGCATAGGCGAATTCTAGGGGGCATTTCTTGATGGAACAGTAATGTTACGTTCATGCCTAGAGTTTGTTATCAACCATCACTTTGTCCCCTCTAATAGGATTTTTCCTTTTCTGTTATTATTTACTTTAATTTTACATTGTTTTTCTTTATTTTATCTAATTCCCTGAAATCTTTTTTTTTCTTCAAAGAGAAAATGAAAAAGAGAGTCAAATTTGTTTTTTTTTATTTATATTAAAAATGGTAGGGATTCGAACTAATTCATTAAGGAATTAATAAAAACATATATCATTTATTGAGTTAAATACTTAAATTTTTTTTAAAGCTTCCTACTTTTTATATATTTTTCCATATATATTTTTGGAGTAATAAAAAAGATACAATTTCAACCACTACACTATTATAATGAACAGGATCATAGGCCCTTTAATTTTCTGTGGAGACAGTGCGGCCTGAATTGAATCCAGCTTTCTAATTGATTATCTTGCTCTCAGGCTACTTTGCTTTTTGGTGATGCGGAAGCTGTCCTCAATTTCTTTGGTATCTGAATTCACAAACTGCAAAAAGAAAGAAGGAAATGCATGAAATAATTAGAAACAGAAGCATTTTCCAACATTAATCTTTATATTTTTATCTGAATTCATAGTGAGTCTTAAAGTGTGTTAATTGCCAACCTCTAATTTCAGCTCATCCCTTGTTGCATGTGCTCTAACATAGCCAAATTTAGAAATCCTCGACAAACTCCAACTAGCCGCCTGCTCATGGATGATTAACAGATTATTTTTTCTACCTAATCATGAAATAAATACGAGTATGGACTGAAGAGACATTCCTTCTAAACTTACATCATCAGGAAATTTGTCGAGACTGAAGCCGGCCATTCCAACAATAGCTTGCACAGGTGCAGTGTAGTTGCTATTGTCATACGTGTCTATTCCATTTTCATCTTTCGTTGGCATTGCCAGACATTCAGAATTATAGACCGAACATGTTCTCTCATAATTATGTACATGGCCAAAAAGGACCAGATCAACCTAATTCATGTTCTCTTATAATCATTTTTAGCAAAAAATATATAGGAAACTGAACCAATTAACTTGATGAATAATGAAGCCAGAGGTTTTTACCTTGTTATTCAGGAGAAGGGGTTCCACGATTTTCAGAAATTTATCATCAGCGCCTAGAGTACTGTACATGGGCCTGTGCCTGCATTTCGGAAACAAACCAAGGGATTCTGTGAGTCTCTGAATTTCTATATGCATATCGAGGCATTGGATTCATTTTACAGACTTTTTAACTTACCCAGTAAAAATTAACCAAGGTGTTTTTGATCGATCAACTGAAGCCATGTCCGTCTTCATCCATTGATACTGTCAAAATTTTGAAGTCAACACAAGATGATACAGATTGGAGAAATCCTATGTTGGAAGGGCATGTTCAGTTTTACCTGTTCAGACTGTTCTGTCCAGTCATGTTCTGTTGAAATGACTGTGAAGTGAACACTGCCTTGCTCTATGGAGTACCATGGCTTATCCTTTGCCGGGGTTGGCATTGGAAAATAAGTCTCATAAGGAACTCCACATTCCCCTCCTGAGTCTGGACCTGAGTACCATGACCCTGAGTCTACATAATCCCTGAAAAGTATGTGGGTAAATTGGTAATAACGCCTAATAGCATTGACTTGACTTCCATTTCTCCTGATTTTTGACAAGAAAGTTACCTCTCATGATTTCCAATTGCCGTCATGTAAGTAACTTGAGAAGCCACAGGGCTTATAAGGTGGAGGAAGAACTCCCATTCAACTAAGAAGCCAGTTGCGTAGCTTATGTCTCCAATGTGAAAAATGGAATCTACATTGCCATTTGCCACTTCTTCAACCATTCCTTTTACTACTGAAATTGATCCTGGCTGAACGTGCCACGAAAACATAAGCCTCATTATTAGCATAGTAATGCCTTAAAATAATATTTAGTGTGTATATATATGTTCCATCCAAATTTGATTATCATATGAACGAAATTAACTTGTGAAATTTAACTTCTTGATCAGGTAAAGTAAAAACATAGCAGCAATTGTTTAGTCCAATAGCCCCATAAGTGATTTCAGGATTTTAGTGGGTACTAGGACATTGAATTGCTATTACCAAAAAAGTTTTAGATCCCTCCTATACCATTACTGACCCGATACAGTTTTCAGTAATAGTAATCACATTGTATTGCTAACTTGCATCTCTACCTGAATGTAGTGCTCTGCAGAAGAATCAAGTGGAGCCTTTCCCATATCACCAAATACAAGAAATTTGAGTTCATCTGATCCTCCAGCCGGTGGTGTCCGGAATTCAATTTGATCACTCCATCCAACTGAATCACTGAATCACAAAATGTAAGGCTATTTGGTTACTAATTGAAACCACCAAATCCCTCTCCAAATTCCCAATGTTGTACATTTCTTTCATGGATATAGAACAAAATAAGGGCCAAGCTAGTAAGTATCAGCTTTTGACAAGAATGAAAATTGAGAGAAATTATTTAGTATCATAAGATCAATTTCCTGCCATACCTTCCATATTTGTAGTAGAAGGTGCTTGAAGGCTGCAATCCTGTCATCACTGCTGTGTGGATGTAACCAGGGTCATGCCATCCAAAATCCTTTGCTGGACTTGGTACAATAGAACCTATTTCGAAATCAACAAAGTGCAAGTGAAAGGTTTTTGAAAATGTCAAATATGGTTTAAACAAATGAAGCTCTAATGAAGGGTACGTATCAAATTGGAACTTACTGCACATATCATCAGATGAAAATGTTGTAACTTCTGATGCCTGTGATTTTCCATCTCCATACTTAACTTGTTGAGGTTCCTTATCCCCGCTAACCCATGTTAATCTCATCTGCAGCCCCAGTGATCACAAAGCAATTAACACTCAGGACAATCCTTTTTTGATCATCAAATTTGAGTGATTATGCGTTATAGAAAAATCGATAGTTAAGCATCTTAGACTATAAGATTTGTCTTCATAAAGTGTACAAAATCATTTCTTTATATATGTAGTCTAATAAACATATTGACCCCTTCCATACCGATGTCCCAGTGGAATCCATGCTTGAGATATGTCCATACAATGGCGAATTAGGATTAGAAAATTTTAAAGGAGCGTCGGTCCTAGTCAAAATGCAAGGCGTTGTGAATCCACCAGTAAAGAACACGAATTCGATGTCAGTTCTGATGTTAACGACATGAAAAGTTACGGAGCCACTGCAAGTTGTGACCTCACAACTACCGTCGTTGCCATATTTCTGGCATTCTTGCTTCTTGCAACTTAGATAGTCTGGATCACTGCTCATATACTTTGCCTGCATCAATTCAAGTGGATCTTTTTCATATGTTTGCAATGTAGTAATCTACTGTTAAAAGGTTTTTAAACTTTACAAACAGGAAATATATATTAAAAAATTAAAGAAATAAAACATGTGGCATTATCTTAATCATGTAAAGTTAAAAAGTCATATCGTCTGTGTATAAAAACAAACTCAATAAGTATATATATCCCAACCACATAATTAAGGACACTGGGAAACTAAATTGATTTTTCCTTTCCTTTCAAAGTTAATGTCCCATTTTTCAAAATTCTATATTATTTTCCAAATTTAGAAAATGAGAAGAAAAATAGAAGGAAAGAAATTGATAGATAGTCATATGTTATATCCAATTCTAATTTTCAAGCTTCAAATAATAAACAATTTATATAATGTTCGATGATTAATATATTTGTTTTAAAATTTGATCCAAATTGAGCAAAACATGAAAGTAAAACATGGAAAAAATGTTTGAAAGAAAATGAAATGATAATCTATATCTAATTCGTCGACATAACTAATTATTTGAAGCATGAACCTTTGTATATGTTAGTTGATTTATAGCTATTTTTATCAATATAGTAGAATAAAACTTTGGGACGTTAATCTTGAAATAGACACGTATTTGCTTGAGTCTTTGTTCTATTATGTCTTGTGTGTAAATTCTATTTTATAATCTGCTCTTTAAATTTTCCTCTGATTAAAAAAAAAAAATGAAATTCAGATATCAACTTTAACATGGAGATTAAGTACTATAAGATTGAATTTTTCTACCCTTCAACTATCAAAACAAGATTAATTATCAGAATAGTTTCTCAATATTATGAAATTTGTGTAACAAAATCATATGAAATGAGTAATTAGGATCATAAGATTGACGAAGTCTCGCGCCGAAACACACACCAATGATATATATATATATATAACTCACATCATTTGTCAAACAATGATTTGAAAATTACCTTAACAGGATAATGGCAGAGGAGAGGAAGAGCGCTTGTATCACCAGTCTGTAAATAGTAAGCCTCACTTCCAGGACAGGTAGTCACACTGCATTATATATAATATATAGGCAAAACAAAGTAAAGATCAATGCAAAACATGAAACTAAAAATATAATATGTCATGAAAAAAGAATTACAAATTAGATTTCGTTTGTTTCATAGAAAATAACTTTTGAAAAATAATTTTTATATTTTAGATTTTTTTGTATAAAAGTAACTGGTGAATGAAAAATAATTATTTGGTCAACGAAAAATGAGATAATTTTTTGAAAATTATTTTTTCTTTTTCAAAAAGGGAAAATTTTTTAAAAAAAAGCTTTCTATGAGTAAAACTATTTATCAATATGTTTAAGTATAATTTTTATTTAATTTTGCTTAAAAAATTAACAAATTAATATTAAAAGTCTTTTTAAATATTTTTATAATTTTACTCAAGTAAGACTTTGAATATAATATTTTAAGTTTGAATTTGATTTGATTTGACTTGAAATATTATTATATTAATTAAAGTATTTTATTTAATTTTAATTAAAATTTAAAAATTAAAAATCTTTTGATATTTCAATTTTAAATATTTTTATTTTGTATATTAGTAAACATAAATATTTTTAATATTTCAATAATATATAGTATTATATTATTTTAATAATAAATAATAACATATATAATAATATTTTTTATTATTTTAATAATTAATGTTAAATAATATAATAATATTATTTTTCGAATATGAATATTTTTAATAATTTCTTACAATTTTTAGTTTAAAATATATAATTTTATATTTTGTTTATTAAGGTATTTATATTACTATTTTAATAATAAATATAAATAAAAAATAATTTTGTTATGATTTAATAATAGATACTTTTAATATAAAATATAAATATTTTAATAGTATAAAAGTTTTTATAATAAATATTACTATTTTAATATTAAAAAAAATATTTTAAGAATGGTAATACTATTTAAAATATTAATATCAAGACTAATATATAGTATTAATTTAAGTATTTTTATATTAATATAATATTTTAATATTAAATATTATTATTAAAATATAATTATTCTTGAGTATTAATAATTTTAATAATAAATAATTTCAATATACTTTAATAATAAATAATTTTTAATATTTTAATAGTTATATTAATATTGTTTGAAAAAAGAAACTAATTTTTTATAAAACAATCAAACAACAAAAAATATTTTTCATTAACTTATCCAAATAACAAAAAATCTCTAATTTTTTAAAAAATATAAATATTTTTGAAAATCAATTTCTACAAAATAAATACAACCTTAGAAAGACTCTGAAAATCTTACTCAGAATTGGAAGGTGAGATCATGGCAACCCAATCACTTTCCGAAGGAAGCAAAACCCCGCTAACATTGACAGTGACAAACTCTTCATCAGAGAGGTCAGCGTTGTTGGTAACATTAATTTGGAGATAAGGGTTAGGATCAGGACATTGAAGTAAAGTTCTTCGATTGAGCACACGGAAATCAGATATTGCAGTGTAGTTGAGGTGAAGAAACGTCGAGTTGGCGACCAAAGGGTGCAGTTGGGACGAAGAAGGAGGAAAAGCAAGGAAAAAAATGAGTAGAATGAAGGATAATTTGTATGCGTGGTGTGTTAAACGTTGGTCCATTTGTGATACCAAGGCAGCCGACTTCAAAATAAAGTCTTGGATTTTGTTGGTTTTTATATCTTAATTTTCTAGCTTTGTTTCTGTCATTTCGAGGATTCCAAGGTTGGACGAAAGAAAGATCAATAATATTTATGGGCAGAATTTTCCGGGCTCATATTTATAGCAGAATTGTACGTGGCCAAATTAGGTTAATTTCTTGACAGAACATTGTTACATTGATACAGGTTGCTATTAACTGTCACTTTTGTCCCATTCCTTTTATGAGAATTTTTCTTTTTTTTTTTTTTTTTTGACTTCTACATACTTTATTTATTTAAAAAAAGATACTATAAACTTAAATTTCTCGAATCTGTGTCATCTAAAGATTTACTTTCCAAAAGTATTTAATTTGCCTTGTTTTCTTACTTAAAAAAAAAAAAAAGAGTTGACTTGTTTACATTAATTTCCTAAAATCTTAATCTTCTAGATTTTCCTAGCTTTCAACGCTATTGTGCTAGCTAGAAGAGGAAATATTAAAAGATAAAAAGAGATAATTAAGCAAGAAAAGAGAAGAAAAAAGGATTAAATTAATTCCTTCAAATCTTAATCTTTTTAATTTTTTTTAAAAAATTATTTTGCTCTCGTTGAAGTCCTCGAACCAAATTATTAGGAATAAATCATTTTATTTCCAGGCTTGCCCATCCTTAATTTTTCCCCTGTTGAGGAACAAGCTATTTATAAGCTTGATCGTGGACAGCCAGGGTTGGACACGTAACTATAAGTGCTAGAAAAGAGATGAAGTGCATTTCTATCTCTAACTCCAAGTCCTTGTTCATTGTCAAGTACCGATTGCTTTGTCCAAAACTGCTGTCCATTTGGAATATAACTCATTTGCACCGAAAATCAAATGTGAAATAAGCATAATTACAGCTGTCTATATAGAAAGCAACTTGCTTCATCTTAATTCTAAAAAAATTTATTTTTTTCTAATTATTTTTTTAAATAAAAAACCTAGGAGATACCGGCAAGTCACCTCACAGGTGAGATGTGGCACTTATTTATTAAAATTTTGGCATCCGCATATGCTGAGCGAATGTTCCTACAAAAATTAAAATTAAAATCCTCGTTATTTCAGTAGTTTCCATCACGTTTAATTTTTATATAAATTCCATTATCCATAACTTACTTCCTCTGGCTAGATGTGATAGGTTAAAAAGAAAGTTGATTATTTTATTTAATTAAACGAACTATACTATATATAGAGGCGTACATGCGTTGTTTCTTCTAAACTATTTTAAGCTATTAAAAAATTAAAATTCCTGTCTTTTATCTGTTTTGCCGTGATTAACTAACTTTCTATATTACGAGGGGACGATGGGGATGGGCAAATTTTGGTATAGGTGGGGGACTTGGTAGATTTTTGAAAAATTTTCACTTAAAGTTGTTAGAAATTTTTTTATTAAAATCAGATATTTAAATTGCGATAGTGATCGCGTTTTCGGTTCTATCGTATTTGTTACAATTATTGATATAATGGAGATCTTCGCGATCATTTCGATTATCATGGTCGTAAATTTTTTAAAATTTTGTTCAACTTGCTATAAAATACAATAATTTTAATTATTAATCATAAAACCTCTTATTTTATGATTTTTAAAGTAATTTATATCATATCATGTTTTTTATTTATTTAAGAAAAAATATTTATAGTAAAATATTTATATTTAAAAAATTATTCATATGATAATTAGAAAGTAACAAGAGATAAATAAATATGTGAAAAAATAAATAATCATAATGAATGATATATTTAATTATTTAATTTTTGTACTCATCAAATTATTATCGAACTATATTATGCATAAATCAAATAATAAGTGGTTGAACATCCATAAATTAAGTAAGAGCATTACTATTTGTGGGCCAAGAAAATTGTTTTTTATGGGCTTACAGTAAATCAAACTTGGCAACCTTAATGTTGTGGGTAATCTTCAACAATAATAGCCTTAAGTCTACTTACTCTATCTCTTAACTAAATTGCATAAACCCACACAACTTCTCATCCCCTCACCTTGCATTCAATAATTTTTTTCTCCAAACCTTCATCCTCATCCCCATCTCTCAATTCTTTTTTTTTTCTAGTATGTGCTCTTTACTTGTCTTCATTAACCTCAAGTCTCACTTTCATCTCTTGTCTTTCATTTTAAGTCCCAGCAACTTCTGCCCCCTTCTACCAATGCACCGTAACCCAATCCAATCCCAAACACACAAAATCATGACAAATTTGGAAATTAAAAAAAAAGGTAATTTGAGTGTTAAATTAATTGCTTACCTTAAACTACATATAGTTGATTTTGATTGAAGTTGAATTTGAAAGATTGATATTTTTGAAAGTTTAAGTTTTGTAAGTTTTTTCTTCATAAATTTGTAAATTGATGTTTATTTTCTTTCTTACTGTTTTTATTTTAAGTTTTTAAACAAATCAAATGAAGATTTTTTTCTTGAATTTTTGAATGAAAAACGGAGTAGCAGGCAATAGAGGACTGCTATTGCTGCTATTCAACGTTACGTCACAATTCGTAATCGTGATATATCCGCTATAGACGATATTCAAATTCTCCTCCATTTTTTTTTCAATAACGATGACAAATAGTGGCATGATTGCAAAACAATGGCCGCTATATCGCTATCCGATCGCGATTTAAATCTTTGATTAAAATTAAAAGTTTAATGTTTATTCATCACTATTGTTAATAGATTTGTGTATGATACTGGTGGTTTAATTTTTAGACAAAAGATGTTAAATAGGATAAATTTAGAGTTTAACTCAGTTATTCATATAAGAATTATATTTAATAGGTTTAAAATTTAAATTTTAAGGTCAATTTAAGATGGTATTCTTTATTATCACGTCCATTTGTCAAGACAACTACAACGGCCTCTAGGTCATTCACTTGTAGAGTTTTCACATTAAAACACATGACATAATTTTTTAAAGACTCATTCCTACCTTGATGGATTGACATCGAACTTAATGTTATTTTTTTAGTTCTCTTACTGCTCACAAAATGGAAAAAGAAAAGTGGTTGAGCTCTTTAAATGTCATAATCGACATCGACTTAAGGCTACTCTTCTAGGATCGAGTTGTCCCTTTGAGGGTAGTGGCCAAACTTTTGCACATCAAAACCTTATATGTACCCTACATCATCATATTAGTTGTATAAAGTGCTAAATGATCAAATGGATTGGATATACTGTTGTAAGTTTTCAAGGTTGGCATTTTGAATCCCTTTAAGGGCATAACTCTATCAATCTCTTTAGTGAAGGGGGATGTCTCTAGGAACTTGAGCTTGTCCTCAAAAGCAACTGCTTGCCCTTAATCTCATTTTCAAGCCTTCAGGTCTCTACTAATTAGGGTTCTAGGTGCGTTTGTCTTGATTTTTGGGTTGTGGTGTGTGTTGAATTGTGGTTAAAGTAGTGGTGGGCAACCAGAATGTCATGTTTGTCTTCTCGAAAAACTAATGAAGCTTCTATTTCCTTATAATTCAGTCACCTTTCTGCAGTCTGTCGGTTAGGGGTGACTAGATTGGACACCTTTAAAGCTTAAAGTGGGGTTATGGTGTACAACTTTTGTTTCAAGGCTTGTATTTGTTTGGCTAAAGCTTGAAATTATTCTATAGTTGGATTGACCTATAGTGGGGCAAGTTGGTTTGTGGGTTGACTATTATGTGTTACTGTTGCAACCGGCATGACTATCTCTCTTTCTTCATTGGCTTTCTTTTTGGGTAGCATGGTTTATAGCTCAGCTTGATGAATGAATAGCCTTTACCTGGCATGCCAAATATTTATGCCAAGCTCCTAATTGGAGGCAAACCTCAAATCACAAGGGAAAGAAAGAGAGCGATGAGAAGCAAAGACAAGAAGTGTTTCTTACGTTTACACTCTGACACGTAAGTTAGAGATCAGTATGAAAGAAGTCATAATGAGAGAAAAATAGGAAGTTGAGAATAATGTGTGGATGTTCATATTTATAAGCAAGAAGTGAGGGACACTCAGGGGACAAAAGTGACATGGCCGAGCTAACTTGGCTTTGAATATGTCAGGTCTACTCAAATATTCAAAATATCCCTGACTATTTGTTGTTAGTTTCTAATAAAGGAAAAAAACTTGATTGTCCTTTTAATCAGTAAATGCCCCTCACAGTTATAGGTCTTTAATGGAACTAATAATTCAATTAGTCTCCATTTCATGACCTTACTAATTTGGTTAGAAAATGTTAAATTCTTTTCTATTAATTATATATGCTAGCATAATATTACTACACGAAGAAAATATTAATGCATGAATGATTATTAAGTATTTGGATTCTTTTTTCATTTAAATGTAAGTTAAGTGCAAGCCTTACATATAAAAATAGAAAAAATTGTAAGATTTTCCTTCTAAACCAACTAATTGAGCACTATGTAAGCTAAATTAGATAATGCAGTACAAGACTTTTTTCACCTTTTTTATGTGTTAAATTATGCATGCATATACCTTACGCATCTCATTTAACACTTTGCATGCTCATCAAAACGTTCGCTTATTTTCTTTTGTTGAGAAAACCTTTATAATTCATAGTGATGACAACGGTCAAGTCAAAGAAGGTTTTTGCTCATCTTGAATTTGATTTGACTTTATATATACAGAACTCGAATCTGACCCGACTCGATATGTTTTTTTTTTTTATACCTGAACCCGACCTGACATTGTATAAAACCATATCTGACTTGAAATTAATAAAATATTATTTTTAAATATAAAATATTATTTTTAATATAAATATAAAATTAAATATATAAATAGATATATAAATAAATATAAAATTAAATAAGTAATTAAAAAATAATTTATATATATAAGGTCGGATTTTAGGCTCGACTCAACTCTAAATTTTTCCTTATATTACTTGATCAAATCCGACTTGATACCGAATTTAAAAAAAAAAAATTGATCATAAAAGATCAGGTTAGATTGAAACCCATCAATTTCGGGTTAGATTACCTTCTTTTTCTATGATTTTGTTTTTCAAGCTTTTAGAAAAAAATTCATCATGGTCTGATGAGACCCAAACTAAGTCACAGCAAGATTAGC